GTCCCTCAAAAGCTTTGCAAGGAGATTGATGCCACATGGGCTGCAAAGCTGGCCTTGAGCCTGGCATGTTCTGAGGATGGGCAGGACGGGCGCCCCATCCCAGCCAGGGCCACTGCGACCACCTAAAAATCTGCCCTGGCCTGTGAAAAGCTGCAGCTCTCCGTTGGAGCAACTCCCTTGGGTATTTTCACAGCACTGCAGCCCTTCCACTCGTGAGCTGCTGTAGAGGCTACATCACTTCAGACCAAGCCGCCGCCATCTGCTCCACTCTCTAATTACAAATGCAAGAAACATAATTCACAATCAAATTACATTAAAAAAAAAAAAAAAAAGAAAAGAAAATGAGCAATTAAAATGCACATTTAAGTTTAGGAAATCGGAAATCAACCATCCCTTCCTAGCCACAGAGCACCCACTTCTGCTCTCCCCAGGCATGGACAAGCGCAGTGCCTGGCCCAGGAACTCAGGATTGYGACCTGCCGGTTCCCCCACCAGCAGCTTGGGACCTTCTCACCTCTGGGGATACTCTCCAGTCTGATGCTGCAGTTACTGGTGACCCTCAGGATACATTTTTAAAAGCAAACACACACAGAAACAGCCTGTGCATATTGCAAATATTTGTATTAAAAATACATAYGGATGTGATGGACATACTACATTTTTTTGAGGTGTTGGGGAGGACCAGTCAAACTCATCTCTAGTCGGCAGCTCACGAGGGCTTCATGGCAGAGCCTTGACCAGGTCTCAAGGAAAACTTGAAATCCCTTTGCCTCGTGATCCTGGASAGCAGCCCTTGCACCATCACATCAGGACCGAGCACCTCTTATCTCCTGAGAAARGAGTTTGTTTCAACCATGTGGAAGTTACAAAAAATAACAGAAAATATGCAGCAAGTTGCAAATTCTAGAGAGATCTTTGCAAGAGCCGAGCTGCAGCTATGGTTATTATACAGGAACAGACAAAAGCCTGTGATGTGGATCAACACATTTTATCACCCTCGKTCAATGAAATACCGCATCCATGTAGCTTAATTATTATCTTACTACAGCGCTGACAGATCTACTATAGTTTCGGTTTAATCTGGAGTTTTATTATACAGTTATTATAATCTCACTTTGATAATGGGACTCCAGGCAGCGATAAAATAAAGTGAGATCAAGTTTAGATATAGCAATGATGAACGATGGTAGAAACACCTAAAGCAGCAGCAGAATCCAACTATCTCCTCTATTTTATTTGTACTCAGTAGAAAAGCACCAAGGAAGCCGTTAAGATCCATCACGGGAGGGACTAAAGGGGAAGTTCCTGACGGGTGGCAGGGATGAGTTCTTAATTGGTTGTTCCTCTTTATTTTCCTTATTATCTGTCTTTAATCTGTAGGGACTGGAGGCCTCTGCTGAAGCTGGCCCTGAGGTGGCCGCGCTGTGTTGGTGAGCGCACAGCCCGGCCCAGTCTGCACTGTCCTCTAGTGGCCACCAGCCCCCATTTACTGGCCCAGCTCTCGCCCAACAGGCCTGGGTGGGGCTGCTGGGGACAAACCAGCSCAGCTGGGCCTGGCTTTCCCCATCGCACTGTGCCGGGGTCCCCTGGCCTCCATTCAGACGAGGCCAGGGCAGCAAGGCGTGCTCSCCCTCGGCCGCAAGCCGCTTCCATCCTCCCCCCCTCCGCAGAGCCAGGAGAGGGCAGATATCCCCGTTTCTCCCAGGCTGAGGCCACCAGCCCTGTGCGGAGCAGGAAGGCTCTGCTGGGGCTTCAGGCCGCCCTGATCAGGACGCAGGCCCCAGGCCGCTCCTCCACGAACTGCTCTGGGCTTTGCAGCCCCACGGCCACAACCTGGCAGCTGGCAGACCCACCACCCAACCCTCTGAGAACTTCATCCCTGTGTCTCTTCAGGTTACACCAGGAGCTCATAGTGCAAGACCCAGAGCCCCCCAAGCAGTAAACAGCTCACAGGAAGGGCCACCACGCTGGTCTCACATGGACCTTTGGCTTGGAAGGACCACGCACCAGCAAGGAGACCTCCATCCCTTCCAGAAGTGCTGCTAACACGCGAGAATTCTCCAGTTAAATGGAGCCACCCGTGGTGGATGCTGCTCCTCGCATAAGCACCCCAGCCACGATGTCCTGGGTAGTGTGCAGCGTTATTAAAGCATCAATTATCTTTAGCGTGAGCAGAGCTACATTAGGAGGACTGCAGTCTGCTCATTATGATAAGGCTTGTTCTGTTCATTTATCAACAAAACAGATGCCAGCAGGCCCAGGAAGCCGTCAGCTTTTAACTCACCAGTGCTAGCATCCTCTGCGTGCGCGTCCTCAACCGGTCGCTGGGTTTGTTTCTCATGCAGGGAGAGAGGGAGGTTGGAACTGCAGCCAACCTAGAGCTCGTGCTCATCTTGCAGGGCACCCGCTACCAAACCCTGACTGAGTAGTTGTGGAAAGAGCAAGAGCTCTTGCTCCCCGGGACCCAGCAGTATGTTTGTGCCTGACCGATGGCACTCACCATATCTAAGCAATGCGGCTGGAGATCTCAGCTGTGCTCCTAAGTGGCTGATGTTCTCAGAAAGCTGTCTTTTCTCTTGTGTTTTGGGGGTATTGGCATAGAAAATGATCAAATGATTGGGGAAAGTAAGACAGCCTCACGGTCCCGCTCTTACCTCCTCACACCGGGTGCAGGGGGACGGTCTCCACCTCAGAAGAGCAGAGCTGGATGGCAGGCGGTTAGGAAGAGAAGCAGGAGGCCTGCTGGGCCATTCCTAGCTCACCTGAGATACCAGAGTACGCTGTGAGTGCCAGGTATTTCACACACGAGTCTAGCTTCTTGGATGACCCTCAGCAGCCTGTGACCAAGTGCACCTATAGCCAACCATGCTGGAAGAGAGCAGGGATCACTGCACCTGGGACGAGCCTGACCCAGGTCTCCAGCTGGCTCACGCACTTCTGCCTCCCTCTATTTCTGGATTTAAAACATACTTCCCTCTATTCCCCCAGTGAATACGCTTGGGGTAAAAACCTAAGCTGATTAACACACCCACCACAGTCACCTGGATCTTTAATGCACAAGATAAATCTCATCACACTCCAAAGAGCAGCTCTATCTTTTTACCTTCAGGCTGGGAGGATTTTGAACAAGCTGCAAATGAACAGAAGCTCAAGAAAATAAACCAAAGGCAGCCGACTGCAATCCGGAGAGGCCTCATCGCCATCCTCGGATGGGGGAAATGAGGCAGTAAGGGCTAGAGAGGGGGACTGAGGCAGCGTTTTCCCAAAACTGCCTTTTGTGCTCTGTGGAACAACTCAATAACAAAAACAATACATCCCTCTCCCTCTTCCAACATCTGATAAAAATCAAATAATAACAGGAGTGACTTATGTGCTCTCTGCCTGGTACTTCAATCTGGCCTTCCAGTTAATGTGCACTATGATTAAAGCATCTGTAATCTGCAGTCTGCGGAGACCCGCGGAGCCGCAGCAGCAGCGGGTGTGCGGCCTGATAAGGGCTGTTCACTCAGTGCAGATGAAACTTAATATTTATAACTGCTGATTTTTTTTCCTGATGCCTCCTACTGAGGGGAGAGGAAGTCAAAGTTTAAAGATAAAGGCTTGATAAAAAAGTTGGTGCAATGTTTTTCAAGGACAGGCAGGGTCTTAAAATTATCTCCAGTTTAAGGCAGTATTTTAGGCAAGCACAGCACCAGAGACTGGGGCTGGCGTTTTTAGAAGACCTTCAAGGCTTTGAGCTGTGTTCCTCCAAACAGGAACTCTGTGGGTTCTGCTTGTGCAGCACCACATGCCGTGTGGCTGGGGCTGGGCCTGCTTGGCATCACTGCAAGGTTATTATTAACTTGCATCACATCAATAAAAAATACTTTAAGTCAAGCACTAACATGATTTCCAACTTGGCACCTAAATACACAGAGAAATCTGAACTCGTGCAGTGTAGCCTTGTCCTCCATCTCAACACCTGCAAGAGCTGCTAGCACAAAAGGCACTGGGAAAACACCTTTAAAAAATAACACTCCTTACTGGTCCAGCCAAGTCACTGTAATGTAGGGCTTAGCATCTCAGTTACTGAAATGTTTAAGATGCAGGGGCCTTCCCAGTCTTTGTCCTGTTTGTTAGCAACATGCACTTATTTCTAGCAAGATCCCTGTTCCAAGTGCATGGAAAACACACACACAAGCAGTCATCAGGGTGCTGTGCTAACAGCAMGACTCTGCTCACCGTCCTCATTATCAACACCACGAGAACTTCACTGGTAAATGTACAAATAGTTTATTTTTAGGCAATATAAAAAGAGTCACAACAGTCCAGAGTGTCAGTATTGGATGACATTACCCCCCAGTAACTTGACTGAGGAAACTGAGCCAACCTGAGCAGAATAAAAAGATACAGAGAAATGTATTCAATATATTTCCAATGTAAATCATCTACTCTCAAAGAATACACCGCTATATACATCTTTTTAAGGTACTTAGGTGGTCCTCAGTATTACCAGAGCATTTCAAAATGTTTAGCAAACACATCAYACAACATACATGATACTGGGAAATGCATTTTAGATCTGAAACACAAGGCTTGGGGTGAACTTGAACTGAGGTCTCTCAAGTTGGAAGTTGTCATCTCAACCATTCCACCTTCTTACCAGATATCRAAGGATACAGAAACACGGCTGGCCAGGGAGGAGACAGACCTGCTTTTTCACAAAACAGAACAACAGAATGGGATTTTAAAAAACACACGTAGAGGAACCTGAACTCCCCTCACTCAAATTCAAAGCCATCACAAAAAGCAAAGAGTACAGCTCTGTTCTCCGGAGACATGTTTAGGAAATGAGAACATTTCACTGCAAATATATGATCCTTTACGTATTTACCATCTGGATAGCATGAAGAAAACTGCACAAGGAAAASCTAGCACCTAGTGACAGCTGCGGTTTTCCTTGACTTTAAGCAACCTTGTCTGCCAAAAATTAGCTTCCTTYGGATTTATTCTTGACTGTACTTCTTTCCTTTACAAATTATGATTTCAAAATACCGTAAGCAGAGTTAAAAGCCTGGCGAGACAAGAATATTATTAAAAATGGTGTGAGGAAACAAACGTTCAGTCAATCTATCTGCATTCTTAACAAGGAGTGTAAGAGGAAGTCAGAACGTTTAGTATCTTGGGAAACACCATCAGAAGGTATTTCTGCATCACATCTCAAAATACAAGCAAAATCTGAATCGATAAGGCCACCTGGCATCAGGGGTCACTAGTTAAAACTTGACTGCGCTTGAGTAGACACCTGCCAGAGTTCTTACAAYGCTTGCAAGCTGCAAGCAAAACTACATTAAGCTGCTTACCACTGTGCAGAAAATAAATAAATAAACAAACCCCAAGGATTAGATCTACCTCCCGCTGCACTCCAGCTAAGCAGGCAGATCCCTGTATCACCTAGATTATGCTCATTTCTAAGCCTCATTTTCACATTGGGCAACTTGAGAATATGACACAACTGTACATGAAGGAACATACGCAATGTCACATATGGAATTAGTGAGCATAATCTGTGAGATGTTTTTTACAAACCTAAGACTAATACATGGAATTTAAACATTAGAGGATAGTTTAAGAGCATATATGWAATATCCCCAGGCGTTTACAGCTATACATAGAAGTCACTTGTGGCAAGCAGTTGCCAGACTTAGTGTAGAACTAACACAGCTGGGCAAGAAGAACAGCTCTCAGAGGCCAAATCTTCCCTCAGTTCCATATGAGGGCAGCAGGATGCTCTGCTCATGCWGTCAATGATCACAGCCAGCTCTAGTTGCTTGAGAAAAAGACACCTGCAATTCCATAAATATCTCCAGAAAACTTCGCTCAGTGGAAAAGTCTGTTCCAAGCATGAGGCAGCAACACCCAAGAGTGAGAAACAAGCAGCCAAAACAAATAACAAGCAGCAGCCGCAACCTGTGGACGCTGGCGACGGTCACTAAAGAAGGCACCACCCGTCTCGAGCAGTCCAGCTCTCACAACTTCAGAGGTATTGCAGAAGACACAAATACCCAGTAGAGCACATGTGTTTTGTGCATGTCCCCAAGGTCAATCAGTTGTGCAGATGTGTTTATTAAGGGTCATATCAATCTAATGTGAAGTGCTCTGCGAAGATATCATTCTTTTTCCCAAACAAACCTCTCACGGGCTCAAACTCCAGGGGCACATCAGCTTTTTTTTTCTTTATTTCTCTATCAAAAAGCTACAAAGAAAAAAAAAGAGAAGATATTAGCAAAATTTAGGAGAAGCTCTTTATCCTGACTGATACCAGCTCTCACTTTAACCTCTAATAAGAGAAATCAGGCCTTTCAGGTCTTTTTTGTATAAGCCACTCCTGTCACCATTTCTGCCTTGTCCTCCTGCATTTAATAGACATTTCCCTGGCTCCGGGTAATCACAAATCAGTTGAGTTCCCTCCCCAGAAGCTGCTGAAGGTGTTTATAGATCCCAGGAGCCAGTCCCTTTTCCTCTTATTCCACTCTTTAATGCAAGCACAACAATACTACCTCACAAGCAGAGAGCTCCAAGAGCCCCGATATGTTGTCCTCTATTTCTGACAGTGACTGGTTCAGGACAGCAGCTGCTTGAGCCACATCTGGATGATAGTGGTTTTGTAGAGACTAAAAAAATAAAACAAATAYGAGATGCTCTAATGAGTAAAGGATTAACATATATCCACTCAACTGCCCCCATAGCTGTCCCCTTCTCTACTAGTCAGTTATTCAGTGAGCACCACATTCTGGCACAGGAGGCAAGTTTACTGTTCTGCACTATTACAAAGCTCCAACAAATCCAGATTCCAGGCATCCTTCAAGCACACACACAATCCCCTCCGCATCCAGGTCAATTCAGACAGGCTCTTCCACATACCTGTAGCTCCCAGAGGGAGCTTTCCAAAGCCCTGCTTTCAGACGGCTCCTTCTCCTCCATAATATATGGATCTTCTGACAAATCTAGAGAGAGGAAGATGCAGAGGTGGTATCTCCTGCATGCTGTGCACAACTCCAAAGGGAACAGAGACATCGAACAGCACTGCAGCAAGAGCTGTGTAAGACAGTGCCCCTGACATTTATGATCCAACAACAAGCTACACACCTCAGCAAGCCCGAGTCACTGAAGCATTGCAGAATYACATTATTTTTAAAGAGCAGAGAAGTAAGACACAAAGAACTGGAACACTGTAAYGCAAAAGCAACTTGGACAATTTTGAACAAGCATTATCGGTGTTCAACACTACATTGATTAAATCATGGACAGATGAATAACAACTCAGGAAACTGCTAAACCAATGGGCTTAAACACTGCAGGTGGCAAATGAGAAGGTCTCAGATTTCTCCATTTGGTTTATTTTCTCATTTCTTTGCTTAACAGAGTGTTAAGCTCAACAAGACATGTGCAGTGTATGGTCCAGTTGTCTCAGCCTTTTAACACTTGAGGTAGTCTGAATCAGTGCAGGCTCCAAGCACCCTTAGCCTGGAGAGTCACACAGAGGGCATCCTACTTAGAGACCATGTAGCCTACAGCGAGGCCCACAGACAGAAAAAACAGACAGATCTTCATGGCTGGAGAATTTGAAGGAGCAGCCTGCAGGCTTTCTTGCAGAGCCAAAGGACACAGAGATCCTTCTAAACCTTASAAGCTGGGACTGGGATCTCTCCTCCTCCCCCAGGGAAATCCATCCTTCCCTTTATGCTATCCAAAGGCAGGACCCAAAAGCCCCCAGCCAAACTGCCCTCTTACCTTCGGGCCCGTCAGGCCTGTGCACTAACACTCTGCAAGCTGGGTGCCTCCGGAAGAGATTGCAGATGAAGGGAATGACCATGAGCAGAGCCTCGGGAGGGGCAGTGAGGGCCAGCCGGGAGAGGCGCTTTATAAACGCTGCCACCAGGTAGGCTGGCAAGTGACTTTTGGAAAGAAAAGAGAAGACACCAGTGTATAAAAGCCCAAGCAAGAGAGGAGGCAACACTACCAACCCTGACAGCGTATCACATTGAAGATCAACAGAGCCCTTTTTATTTTTGGAGTATGGAATAAAGAAACTGTAAGCAAAAATATSTGGTTGCAGGCAGTAACACATGGCCTTGTGCAACAGTTGCCTGCAACATAATTTGCATCAATTTCTACTCAGTTTATCAGTAATCTAAAGCACCCTGATTCAACCCGGATGTGTGGCACCCCTCCAAGCAGATGCTGTAGCTAAGCACAGCTCTTGTAATGGTCACTCACACTGCAGTCTTTATTCAGTCATTTTACAAACTTATGAGCATTTGGGCAGGCAACCTTAATTATATCCTTCTAATGCACTTCGTGGGTTTAATTAATACATGGACCATGGTGTTAAATTTATGTAGTACTTTCAGGACTAAACCAAGCGGCGCAGCTGTTATCAGGAACATAAAGCTGTATAATGTGTATGTGCAGAGTAGTTCTTATTTCCATAGTAAAAATGCAAACTTATAACAATAATCACTTGATATAGGCAYTTCCTTCGGTGTTTGAAGGAGCTGGGATGAGAAATGATGAGTTTCRGCCACCCACCTTTCAGCCCTGCACCTCACCAAACCTGCAAGGCTTAACAATAGCACCCAGTTATTATACACAGTATATTTCTCACTCCAAAGTATACTATGAGTAYAAGGGCTTTCTTCCCTGTATATAAAAAAAATGACAGCATCAAGGCAGGCTGTCAAACACTTTATGTTCCAATATATCAACAGTTTTATGATCTCATGTCTATTTAAAAAAATGCAAATGTTATTTTTCTCCATATTCATAAAGTCAGAGGAAAAAAGTATCACTTTCAGCCAAATATGGAATATACATCAAAATACATTCAAAATTTTGCAAATCAAATTCAAATTATGTACTGCATTTTTGTTTTCTGAAACTAGATGGGTATGTGGCAAATCTTCAAAAATAGCACTTGCAAAATTACACAGCATTACAATCATCCTCTTGGATTCAATTTTCTCAGTAAACAAAAATCCAATCCAGTCGGCATACTGAATGCATTAAATCCAGACATGGAGAGACTGTTCAGTCTCTGGCCAACGGAAAAGCAGGAGAAAAATACGTTAACATATATTATAAAACTGCTACTTACGATGAAGACAAAAACAGATCAGCCAAATGGAAAAATCGGGCTCGATACTTCACGTGATATATAGAAGGGTCTAAAAGGCTGTACAGCTTCTTGTAAAAGTCTGGATATTCCCTATTAAAAAAAGGAAAGATAAAATGTTACAGACCAGTGATGTACAGTGGGACAACACTGTGTCTAAATGTCCTTGTGCATGCATTATATGTGACCCCAGACCACTGCTGTGCTGTTTAGCCTCCTTTTGCTCCTCTCCACGGCCATCACTCGAAAATAGGCTGCAAGGTGAATTTCCTGCTCTTGCAGTGCTGCTAAGCTGTTTTGGGGCTGTGATGCTACATCCACTGACTGCAGTGGTACAGGATCCAGGTAAGGCAAGCCAAAGACTACAGCTTTTCTGGGTGATCAGGTCACCTTGAAAATAGATTTTCAAGTTCCAAACAGTAACAGTCTGGATCAGAGAGTATTTAGGCTCAGCTGAAAAAATGGTCATATTATCAAAAATTTCAGCATTCAAACATCTGAGCCTCTTGTGAAGAGGGGTTGGAATTCCAAGGTATACAGACATAAAAGCAAAAACCCATATTYCTTGAAATACAATGTTTTGTTTACTTACAGATTATGCTGATGAATCAGAATAAATAATCCATTTAAGGCTAGGAGACTGATTGCTCCACCTGCAAGAAAGAAAACAGATAATACAGAAGAGAACCATCAGCTGCAACTTTATTTTATTATAAAACTTTCACAGAGCAGACATAATACTCAGAGTACCTGAAATTAGTGACAATGTGATGGTTAGCAAGGGACAAGATCATGTGAAAGCTTCCAGAGGCTCAGAGGTTACTTACAAAGATTAAGTTGTAGTTCATAAGAATAGACTTGAAGGACAGAGACAAAAATGCTGCTTCAATGCCCAAGAAAACTACACTGGGTGGGTAGGAGTCCTCCTCAGAAAGAATACTTCTGTAGGAAACTGCATCTGTGTCCAGATGCAGCCCTGAGAGCAGCTCTGCAGGCTGAACTCTACATTTGAAATAAATCACCTCATTATCCCACCTTTTCTAAAGCTTGAAATAGGACTTCCCTTACATGCAAAGTGAAAGAACATCGATAAGCCCAGGTGAAAATTCCTCTCTCCCAGGGACAAGCACAGTCCCTAGTTCCTTCGCTTAATTCCAGTCAAAGTTATAGCTATTTCTTTGGCAAGGGCGTTTCTGTCCTGAGTCATTCCCCAAAGAGGCCGTGGCGTTGCCTCCATCAGTCCTTCCAGTCGTACCTACTATGCTGCAGAATCCCACAAAAGATGGAAAGCTTGGTTTTACCCACCTATGCCATAGGCCATTGTCAGGAAGTCCATCATAAGAGTAGGTTCATTCATGTACGGCAGAATGGAGTCATGCAGAATAACAAGAACTTTTTTGTAAAGGCCAGTGGGCAGCTGTGAAGGACAAGAAAAAGTCAAACAATCAATGCAGGGAGAAATAGGCAACAGAGAAGAAAAAGAGAATGTGGCAGAATATAGTGCAGGAATAGAGCTTAGAAGAGTGGTTACAAGTGACGAGTGATCATTAAGTTAAAATTACAGCGTCTTATGTAACACTGAAAGCACAGCAGGGCCTTAAAAGGGGCTCCATGGCAGGACAGCCACAGACTCAAAGAGGAAGCCACCAGAACACAGCACAGACTAGTGACAGAACCAGCACTCACCTTGTGCTTCAGAAAGCTGAGCCACATCTTTTCAAACGCCTGCTTGTGCGCCTTAAACAGCATTGCAAAAAAAGGATTAAGTACAYTGGCACCSATAAAGTTTTACTTTAAGTTAACTYCCAAGCACCGAATGAAGTTACCTGCAACTTTGACACTTTCCACTCTTCCCGGTTTTCTAAGAAGAAAGACAAAACAGATCCTGAACTTGAAATGAATATTTAAAAAAATATGATCCTTGCTTTACTTGAAACAGGAAACGCCTCACACTAGTTGTTACAGATAAAACACCTAAGACTGCRAGGTATAAACCCCAAAAAAACACAATTTTATCTGGGGCTCAATTACATACGTGGCTAAGAGCCTTTTAACAACACAAATCTTAAGCATGCTCTTCCCTTTCATCCMCAGTTCACGGCATGAAGCTCACCAACCTTGCTTCACCATGAACTTGCTCAAGTCCCGCTCTTTGTTCGGCATGTTAATGGGTGAAATGAGGGAAAATACGTTCTGCTGGTATATTGGCAGTGGCCTCTAGGGAAAAAAGACAAGCACATTCRAACAAGAAGCTTCATATCAGATGGCAAAACATGCTGGAGTTTAATACTGCTCTGTTTCACAAGCAGTGAATAGATTTAATTACGAAAGAAAAGGAAAAATACCAATGGCAAAACTACATACTGCTTCTTCTCTGGTTCTCTCGTTCTGGAATGTTACTCATTTGCCAAACACAACGTAGGTCTGAACTAACTCCAGTTTAACAAAACTGGTGGGTCCAACTACAGTATAAACAATCAAACAAAACCACACAGGCTTTTCTTACGCAACAGAGGGAGAACACAATTAAAGGCTGCCTGTGCCATCCAAATCCAAGATTTGATTAAAACAAAGGCTACAGCCCAAATCATGAGGTTCTGCATTAAACAACCATAATTCTTTCTTGAACTACCTCAATCACGGACTGAGGACAATCCTATCCAATCCTACCCAAACACTGTGAACAAGAAAGATGAACACCTTTAAATAAGCACACACATTTCTCTTGCTTTCAAACTCTTTCCATATACCACCAGTCCTGCRCTCAACCCCCAAGATAAACCTTTCAAAGCAAAAGTTTATTCAGATCCATCTCATGGGTAAGAGTTTGCTACCTCTTTTGTCCTCTGCATGACTTGCCCGATGCTCTCGGTGACRGCCTTCATCACAAAGTAGCGAACATCGTCGTACTCCATGTATTCTTGGAAGCGAGAGATCAGGAGCGAAGCATCCTCATTTAGGGGGATCAGTCCGTCGACAACTACCTAGCAAAGGGTTTGTGAAGGAGAGTAGAGAGTCAGTCTGCAGCAGGACGTGAGCAGACAGCGAGCTGGGAAGGTCCCTCTGAAATATAGCCAGAAGTGCTGCGTCCTGCTCGCTCCAGAGCACATGTCCACAAGCCACTTTATGAGCCCCCCTCCCATCTCTCAGATGAGTCTCCCCTATCAAAGACARTGTTATTTTGAAATAACACCCTGGGCCATGGCTGCCCCCTCACATCCCAATAGCAAATAAAGCCACAGAACATGAGAAAGCCCAAAGCTGAGACCTCCCATACACAGGAGTCAGCTCGTTCCCATGCAAGGCAGCTGCTCCCACATTTGCAGATCATCACCTAAGCAAGGCGCTCCAGCAAACCCTGGGTTTTGGTGCTCCCTCCATAACAGCACATTTCCTTTCCCCATGAAACCCTCCTCCTAGGAAGTTTTGGCCCTGCAGCACATGAGCACTACAGGTTCCTGTGTCAAGCTGCAAATCACAGCAGGGACTTCCACGTTCTGCAGCCACCTACCTTCAGAAGCTCACGAGGAAAAGTGAACCCCCCCCTCCACTCGGGCTCAACCAAYGGGTGCCTTATCTCCAGCTCGACAAACTTCATGAGGGTGCAGAGCGCTAGTTCCTTTGGAAGGAAAACACACGTGAAGCACAGGAGCTGGTGGCTGGACCCAAAGGAGGGCGCTTACAAGCCAGGAGAAGGGATGAGAGGGTCCTTCCCGCAGGGAGCCCGTGCCCTTTCCTGCCATTCCGAGGGATCCGAGCTCGAGGAGCGTCACAGCAGCCAGGGCCGTCGCGGGGGCTGCTGCCCGCGGACCCACCTTGACCTGGAAGGCCTCGTGCGCCAGCAGCTCGGCCAGGCTGTCCAGGCAGCTGCGGTAGCGGTGCCGCATCCACATCCTGTACTTGTCCTCGGCGCTGCGGGGCCCTGCGGGAGGCAGCGCGCTCAGCACGGCCGSGCCGGGCCCAACCGAACCGGGCCGGGCTAAGGCGGGACTCACCGTCCAGGACGGCCTCCTCGGCGGGCAGGCGGCCCACGAAGAGCTCCCCGCGCTCCAGCAGCGCCCCGAAGAGGCGGCCGCAGCCGCGCACGGCGCTCGCCACGGCCTCCTGCTGCTCGGCCTGCGGACAGCGGCGCCGTGAGGCGGCGGCACCGGCACCGACCYCGCACCGCCCCCAGCCCGGCCCGCTCCCCCCGGCCCGGCCCGGCCCGCACCGCCAGCAGCTCCAGGATCTCGAAGACGCGGTTGGCGCCGCCGCGGCTCCCCAGCACCGCGGCCACGCAGGCGGCCACCGCGCCGCGCGCCTCCGCCATGCCGCCCGCGCCGCCGGAAGCGCCTGCCGCCGCGAGGGGGCGGCGCCTGCCGCCGCGAGGGGTGTGGCTTGCCGCCGCGAGGGGGCGGGGCGTACCGAAGGGGTGTGGTTTGCCGCCGAGAAGGGGCGGGGCTTGCCGCAGCAGAGAGGCGCCGAGCCGGGGCTGTTATAAAAATGTACACTTTATTACATCACTAGTCCTTACAATCCTACTGGATCAAGTACAAATGCTTATGTCCATAAGTTATTTACAGGTAGAGTTGCTAACACACGCCCGGGAGAGAGACACAGTGGAAGGGGAGCTGGGGGTATTTTAAAAAAAAAAAAAAAAAAAAAGGAAAAAAAACCAAAGTGGTTTTTATCCTCAATAACTGACCTAACCGAGAAACAAGCGCCTCTTTAGACACCGAATGAGACCAGCACAATGACGCGGGCAGCGGCTCCCTGCTGCCGCCACCATCCCCCCCAACGACTCCCATGCACATAATAAGAGCTAAACACGTAAAAGTAAAACCGGGGCTAACTAAGCAATCTTTTTGGATGCGCGACAACATACTGTACACAGTGTCAGTTACTGGTTACCATTGCATTTTGCTTTGCATTGTCRACTATCTCCTTGCCAACATTATTAGCTTTCCTGCTAGTAATGGAGTTTAAGTAATGGCACAGACAGTGGTTCAGCAGGGTCAGGGGAAGGTTTGTTCACACACAATGTCAAAAAAAAAACATCAATGCCCCCATATTTGCAGACCTGAGGGTCTGAGAAAAATACGATGTAGGAGAAGAGGTATAAAATTAAAAAGAAAAAGAAAAAAAAACAAAATCAGGAACTCTGCCTGACCCAGTGTTACATTCGTGATCTCAACAGAACGGGGCGTCCATCCTACTTAAAACAGAGGAGTTGACTGAGTAATTCTTGCTTAAGCCACCTGCATTGCTGGATACCTTGGGGTGCACGTAAGGACAAAAGATAYGCCTTCCTTGCTTGTAAATAGGCTCCCCTCCTAAAATAGTAAAAAGATCACAGAATGAAAAAATAATTTTAAAACCATTTCAGAAAAGGAATGTTATAAACTCGTCTGATTTTACATGTCATGCAGTTTTATGGCCAAAGTAAAACAAATCTATTCAAGCCACCAAGAGCTTTTTGATCACTCGCTCTGCTGTTTGCAAAGAGAGTTTGCTTTCCAGCAACTTTATGCAAAAAAAGTAAAGAAAATTTCCACAGTTCTATGCAGCTTCTTGCTTGGATTTTTTTTTTTTCCATAACAATAAGGCAAACTCATTTGGAGGAAGAGGCCACGCTCTATTCACATCCAAAATACCCACCTGAAGATACATTCATCATTAGCTTTAGTAAAAGAATAGTACAAAAGTTAGATCTTATTCTTTACACAATTGAAGAATTAGTCTTAGATTTAATTTCACTATTTTCCCCTTCCCCCAGCCCCCCACCCGCCAAGCTGAAAGCAGAGTAGAAAGTACTGAACATTTAAACATGTTGCAAGAGCAGAATGAAACTGAGAGATTAAACTTCATCTGTCTGAGATTTTCCTTTAAGGAAGTCCCACGAGAAACAGCTACGGACCATTTGTTTAGCTGTATCTACTGAACAATTCTTTTACAAAAAAATGGGCTACACTGTAATGCACATCTACTATCAACACAGTATTTACTCAGTTCATGCCTAAAATATCCATTATCTTAAAGTGAAATATGAGAGAATGACACACAGGTTGGGTGCTTCATTAAACTGTACACAAAACTACTAACAAACATTTTAAAAGACTTACAAAAATGGAGAATGAAACTTTTTTTTTTCCTTTTAATTACACATACTTACAGGTTTTCACATTTATTGGCTAAACTTTTCAGGGAGCACTTCAAATATAAATTAGTTCCTCCAGAGGTATTTACCCTCAAGCAAGAACAATATGCAGCTTTTAGAGATGGAAAATACTTTGCTTTTTTAGCCACGCTTGATTCTTTGAATGGCTTCACCACAGATATTGAACATTCACCCAAATTATAGCAAAGAGCTGCATATTTCCACAGGCAGGTTAGGGGATTTTAAGCTAGATGAATTTTACTGACATTTATGGTATATCACCATTCTAAYTTTGTGCAGCGGGGCAGAATTTAAGTGTAAGCAATGTTTGCTTTATCTGATTTGAACGAGCACAGAGAACACTGGCAGAATGTATCTTGTATGGATTTTGAGTGTTACACAGTTGCTACCATGCTGAGGTTTTGTGAGAGTTTCCATGTTTAAATGTTCACCAGCAAAATCCTTCTGATAAAAAAAAATAATAAAGGTGATTTGTCTTCATGTGGATGTTTGGAGAAGCTTCTCACTTTGCCATGGCTTAGCAAACACGAAATGCTGTACTTCCCTGCTTATTGCCTTTTAATCATKAGTTCAACTTGGTTTAGTGGGTGCCTTTAATCTGACAGTAGGTGTCCTCATTTGTACTTTTGCTTGCTGAGTTTGGGCCTCAGACGTTGCTGGTGTCTGTGCAGGATTCTGTACACCTGGAGCCTGAATCTGGGGAGATGCTGTTGTCACGACTTGCTGTTGAATCAGCTTCTGCTGGACAACCTGAGCAGTAGCAGTTGTTGCAGGAATCACTTGAACCTGCTGCTGACCTGCTGTTGTCTGAGAAAGGGTCACGGTTTGGGGTTGAGCTTGAACCTAGACAGTAGGATACGAGGCAATTACAAAAGGATAGTTTGGCATTAAACAGAGAGCTCAGAATTTCTGCACTACAGAAAAGCACCTTATTTGTATGGATGTTTATTCCCTTCACTGACAGAAAGACTGGGAAGGATGCTGAGAATGTGAGATACACCGTTTCAGTGAAAAACATCTTCCAGACAGATTTTCTAGCGTACAGCCTTATAAATCAAAGCTAAGAGCCAGAATACCCAAGACCTACCTGTTGGGAAACCGAAACCATCTGCTGAATGTTGGCAACAGTAGCCTGTTGCTGGACCACTTGTGGAAGTTTTGCAACCTTTAGTGACATGAAATAAAGTAAGATGTAGTCAAAATTAAAAGTGGCTAATTGCAATGACACACCATATCCTCAAACTGAAGCTGCAGGCTGTCTTTTTTGAGAATGCCATAGTTGGGTAAAAGCAAGCAAGTAAGCAAGCAAACTTTTAGATCAGGTAACTGAGGAATTTAAGTAGAATGGGAAGAAAGAGCCACATCTTCAGTCTTAACTGAACTGCTGTCTTTGCTGCGATGTACTTGCATTTCTTTCACTGACTATATAAAATTAAGGGAAGTACAGAAATTCTAATATCCTACATTATTCTTTCAAAATATATTTAAGGTAATGTTTGCAATTTCCAATTCCCTTACTAGTCCCTTGGTTAGTCTGACTCAGTTGTGCAGAAAAGAAGATAGCTGTCAGCTGGTCTGCCAGCCAGAGGTTGGGTCAGGAGGCAAGAACAGAAGATGGGAAGAACTCTGGCTGAATGTTCCCTAGTAAAACACAGCTGGAATCAAGTACTTAATAAAAAAAAAAAAAAAAAAAAGGTGACACAATTTACTTCTTTCAAAGACAAAAGGAGAACTTATAGTTCAGATGCTTCTTCTGACCGCTGCAAAGGCTGCAAATTCAGCATCAATTAATTTTATAATAAAGTCAATTTATATAAACATATAAGTAGAATTAGTAAGAGCAGAGACTAAAATGCTAAGATACCTGTTGTCTTTACCATCCTCCAAACACAATAAAGGTTAAAGGTGTTACCTGTACCTGAATCTGAGCCTGCACTTGTTGGGTTCCACCTGGTTTCTGGGTCTGGGAAATGGGAGTTGTCAAGAACTGTGTTTTAATGGCTGGCTGCGTAGTATAAGTTACTTTCTGTTGTTGTGATGTCTGCTGTTGGGCTTGGACTGTAACTTGTTGAGCATTTATCTATAGAAGAGGAAAGAAAAAGCACTGGTGCCTAAAAAATTTATATATTTTTTAAAGAGTGAGTATGTAACCATTTAAATTAATTACATTTAGCTACTGAAACAAAATCCTCTCAAGTTTAAGAGTAGAAAAAAGAATAGTGGAATAAAGCTTTCATGCATTTATACAAGCAGCTTGAGCCATTTAAAGCACTGTCTGGAAAGGTACACACACACTTCATGCAGGAATACACCTCTGAAAAGACTATAACCTACAGCAAAACCACACTGATGGCTGATAACAAAGTTCATGACTGGATGACATTTTGGGAAAAAGTACATTTTGCACGGTGTATGTCACAAAAGGCGAAAACACTTGGCTATATTGGAAAAGAATACAGAGATTCCTAATCAAGCAGAACAGTTTGTGGCACAAAAAAAAAAAAAAAATCAAACAGTAATTTCATCAAATAAAATATTAAGCATCTGACAACGCATATGAAAAACTGTTCTCTCCACCAAAACCTAATATCTTCAGATATGCCCACAAATATATTAACTGTCATTATAGCAGAGTCATCATTTATAACTGAAGCTTTACTGCTAGAGAAGCACCACAAAGCTCATAGAAAGAGCAGACAGTCAATACCTTTTGCTGCACAGTAGCTTGTCCCTGTGCAACCTGAGGCTGGATAGCTTTCTGTTGCTGTGCTGCTTGATGGTGCTTAAGTTTTAGAAGTTGCTGGACATGCAGTGGCTGTGCAACTACCGTCTGACCTCCTGAAAATTACAAAAACAATTGCAAATGTTCATTTTTCAATTCTTCGTTTTACTACTAGTTCTCAATAACCATGGCTTGCAAGCACAGATTGTGTTTTTTACTGACTTACACATCTGCATAGCTCTTAGCACTAATAACTTACTGATTTTAATAGTAATAAGACATATAATTTTGCGAGTGGAGGAAAAACATTCTTTCATCTATGGGTAGAAGTAAGCTAAGCTGGTGTCCTAACAGGAAAACAGTTGTTCATACAGGATGGTTCTGAAATAAACGTAAGTTTTCACATCTTAATTTTGAAATTAAAGGAAGTGATGTAAACTGTATCTACTCTCATGCACAGATTTTAACGTAAAATTTAAAATAACTACCCAGCTAAAGATTTATACTAACCTACATAATAAATGAGTGCAACTCTCTTATTTCATTTTTGAAATAAACTGGAGTTCAAGCTCTTACAAAGACTCTAGCTTTAAAGAAATGGCATTTTAAAGTATACTACATTTTAGCAAGTCTCTTCACCTACCTGCAGCCTTCTGTGGCTGTCCAATAGCAACACTAATGCCTGCAACAGTAACAGGGAGTGTGGTGACTCCCGCAGAAGACACAACAGCAGCTGGAACAGACACCACTGGAGGCTTTGCCAAAGCAACCTGTGCTGCTTGTGGAGTTTGGGCCTGGATCTGTCCTTGCGCTTGAAGCTGGGAAGCAGGAACACGAGTCTAAGCAATAAGGAATGAAGATTATTGTACTGGCAAAATAATATTTGCTGCATATAACACGTCRTTATATGTGCACACAAATGACGAGCATCCAAGTTCATTTAAATAAGCAAAGAGAATTGTTTAAGACAACTTACAAGACGAGCAACTTGCAGGTTTGTCACAGTAGTGCCTGTGAGAACTGCACCAGGCCGAGGGGCTGTAACAGCAGTGAGCTGTTGAGTTTGCTGTTGCTGTTGCACTTGTACTTGTGCTGTTTGTTGTTGTGCCCCTTGCTGTGTCTGCTGTGCTGCCTGCTGCTGAGGAAGCTGCAATTTCTGCTTCTGCAACTTGATCAGCTGCTCCTGCAAAAATAAAACGTTTCCATCATTTCTAAGAAGCATTCTATGTCAGACTTTGATTAGGAACAAAGAGCTATGAATGTAGCTTCTTTATACAGTGGATTGCAGAGCTTTACATCCTGACTTACTGTGAAATAGTGATACTATTTATTGAAAAGTAGTACTGGACTCCCTGAGTTCATGAAGTTTTGGAAGCATCAAATTTAAGAATGAACAGCATTTTGTTCTAGTCCAGAAAACAGGTTACAATAAGCATCATTAATGAGACTTGCTGTAACAGATGACAATAACATGTCTGTACATGTACTGACACTTCAGGAATCCTTCCTCACCTGTGACAACTTCCCTACAGTTTTTATTTGGGCTGGAGACTGGGCTTGTGCCTGTGCCTGAATCTGCGGCACTTGCACCTGAGCCGCCGCCTGCTGCTGCTGCTGCCTGAGGAGCTGGAAGTGCGCGGGGGTGATGGTTTTGCCAGAGAGCTGGACTGTTGGCGTAGCTGTGAATGCAGAGGAAGAGAAAAAGAGGTTTGGAAGAAGATTTTGAACATTCAATATAATTCACTGTTTTCAATTGAAAAGATTGAATGTGTATTTTTGGATGTGTATTTTTCTGCTTTAGCACAGTTTGTGGTCTAACTACAAATAAGAACACATTATTAGAAATATGGTAAAAAAGCAGAATAAATAATAAATTATATATTCCTTTCTTCATAATGGTTTTCAGTTGAGGCAGTCAATTCCCACACTATACTGCTAGCTTATTACTATGCTTTCTTTTTTAATTGTAATGTCTAGAGACCAAGCATTGCTCTACAGCAACACTTTATCCAGAAATACTCACTGGAGAAAAATGTAGTCTGAACAGGAACAATTAAAACAGTTAACAGTAAGTTAAAAACTGTGGCGTTATTTAACAGTTCTGCCAACAAATACAGACTTTCAATACTGTGGGTGGTCAAGYGATGGCCAAGTACACTAGAAAATTCTAAGGCTCTTTATGCACCCTCAGGAAAAACAAAACAGAATGACTAAAACCAAAACCAAACCCTAAATCATGTGTTTACTACCTGGTGTAACCTGAGTCACCAAAGATCTTGTCTGGGTCTGCACTGGTGTTAGGTTTGTAGTTACGACTGCGGATGCTGTCACTGAGGTCACTGCACGAACTCCCTGGGTAGAGGCGATGGTCACCAGCTCCGTGGAAGCAGCGGGCGCCGCTGCAGCTCGCTGCTGCGTGTGCACCACTTGCGCAGTCGCGGTGCCTCCTGAAGTCTGAACAGGAACAAAAACGTTACTGCTCACAATTTTCACGCCTCACATAAAACCAAAGAACCTCGTAGAAACAGACCATATAGTTTTAGAAACAAGTATCAGAAATAAAGCAAAGCAGGCCCAAATCTTTCTAATGTTTCTCGTCAGATATGTCTCATTATCAGCTTTTCATTAAACCTTTTTCAAACAGGTTGATCACCAAGACCTTAATCATTCTACAGAAATTTGATTTTATTACGTTTCATATTTTTATCTTCTATAGTGCTATACTCTTAAAATAAAGATCATACTTCAAGCACAGAACAATTATAGGCTGGAAATGGCGTGATCCATTTCCTATGACAGCATTCATTTATGAACCACTGTTAACAGTACTATCAGGTACTATGTTCTGATAAGCTGTCCCAGTGCATTCTGTTTTTTTTGGCAGGGCACATGGGCAGCATACAGAATCACATGAAGCACACAAAGTTGGCAAGGCACGGAGTTTCTGATAACATGAAGGCTAATGCAGCAAACATTATAAACAGATAAAACTGATAAAACTTGCAACCATAAGTAGAGCAGGGACACAACTAGCAGTCTACTCACAGTCAGAGTTCCAGGAATAACAGGTGAGGCCAGACGTTTATTGATGGGCTGAAAGGTAGCAGCAGGAACTCCAGCAACTGTATTCACTATGACATTTCCACTTACTGTAGCTGGAAGAAAGAAAGCAACAAAGATTAAATATGTGATTAAAAAAAAAAAATCTCATCTCCAATGCCCAATTATAAAGTCTTCTTACCAGTCTGAATACTTGTCCCAGTAACTGCTGTTTTGATTGTGCCCGCCTGTTTAGAAGACAATTGAGGTAGCCATTTAGAACACAGTAAAAAAWAACTGAACACAGCTCTCACGCTGCTCTGCTTTTTAACACAATGAATTTAAGAAAAATGCAACAAGATGCATTGATACGTCTACTATTTTTCACTGTTTTTACTCAATACAATTTTTATATATGTTAGGGTTCTGCTACACAATCATTTGGAGAGCAGCTGAATGCCGGGTAAAGTGAATATCATTATTGATATTATTTTGACATCCTCGATAAAAAAATATGGGAGTAATATATTACTCGGGTACATGCAGGTAACAGCCCACACACAAACATCACTGAGCAGCGGATACACAGTGATACTTGTGTAGCCCTTTCTCTCTTTAGAAGTTGCTATACTTTAGACCTTCGACAAGCAAATTAAGATCACCACTGCCTGTASAGGTTGGCAGGCAAATAGGGTAGGTTATAAAAATACAAACTTCAGATTTTTGGTTTGTTTGAATCTCTGTTTTTAGCTACTTCAGCAAAATCTCTTAGCAAAACTATTTTATGCGGTTAGCCACTAAGACCATACCCAATAGTCTCTCTATTCTCCAAGTTCTCTGGATAAACATTTTTCATTCACTGTGCAAATGTATTTGCTCAGGCTTTAATTAATGTCTAAATTTAATGGGATACAAAATCTTTGCTAATGATATAGCTTCTTTTCACCCTGAATGTAAGACCTACTGCAATCAGAATAYGAACAGAGCAAAAAGAGATACTTAGCATATTCGAAATAGAAAAACTGCATTTCTCTCATAATACCAACCTAAACTCCCATGCAAATACGATGCAAAAAGAACTGAAATTACTCTAGGAGAGGCGCCAAGCCTTCCCTTTCTTACCAATACTGCTGTGTTGGCCACAGTAGTTACCGCAGTCTGTACCACTGCCTGCTGCTGCTGAACTACCTGGGCCTGGGCCTGGGGCTGCGGCTGCGCTTGCTGCACTGCCGGCTGCTGGGCTTGCTGCTGGCCGCCTTGCTGCTGCTGCGCCTGGGGGCCCGTCTGCTGCTGGGCCCTCTGCTGCTCAGCCAAGGCCTAGGAAATCAAAGTGTGAGCTCCACAGTCTTCAAAGCACCGGAACAATTGGGATTTTTTTTTTTTTTTTTTTTTTTTTTTAGCTTTCGTTCTAAGCGCATTTTGTTTCTTTTTTTTTTAATATGTACGTATGGATAGAGCATCCAAATCCAACTTCGCTGTAACTTTCTAACTCCAAGGTACAAGGTCTAACTTGAAACTCATTTTGAACTACAAGCTACGCGCTCATGTTTATATAGCTTGGAATGTAACACAAGCAAATTTGCCATCAAGAAGCAAGGAATAACTCCTCAATAACAAAAGCAAGGAGAGTATAAAACAGGCAAGAATTAAACAAGGATGGATTTTTTYTTCTTTTTTAATGCAGATTTTCCCAAGAGGTGCTGGTAAATCAGAAACCGGCACACGGGCCCTGGGAAAGGTCCTGCTTCAACACTGGATATTCAAACCTAGATGTACAACTTGCAGCTGCCTGTGACCCCTGCTGCACCAGCTTCCCCCAGACATCAGCTCTTCTCACACTTCCTCTACCTCTTGCCTAGGTGTTTMATTACTGCAGTCCTACCCACAGCTGACTGTACCTTTTTCTCTTTTGCAATACGTTCAGCTCGGAGGGATGCAACTTGAATTGGAGGAAGAGGTTTATCATAGTTGATTCCACTAAAAAGAGTGATAAGAAAACACGCAGTATTTTAGAAATAAAAACWGAAAGTTAAAAAATCCCACTTTTTATTTCATCTGTAACTCCTTTAAGATAGAGCGCCCACCTTTCTGCAAGCACAGATGCATGCTTTGGATTCTTCTGGAAAGGATTCATGCCAAGTCTGAAATGGAGCAAAACTGTGTTACTAGAGACAGAAAAACCTTAAAAACAGCATTTGATTTCACATATTTTAGTAGATTACATTGCAGTTCTGGTGAGGTTTTCATGGTATTCCCATCAGTACTACAGCCTGCACACAAATAAATATTTTAAGGGAGACTTACAATAAATATTAAATGAATAYAGTAAAAATTACAACAGAAATACGCATAGAACACAATATGCTATTAAATGTTATCAACATCAGAATGTTTGCAATTCACGCGAATGGAATGTAGACTCAAAGTAGATTAAAAAAAAAAAGAAACACACAAATGAATGCCTTTTTGCTCTTAATCACAGAAAAGAAATTAATGCCATGAGTAAAAGCTAACTCAAGAAATACACTGGTGTTCCAATGACACAAAGTCAGGGCATAAGGAAAGAGTTCAAGAGCAGAGAAAGAAACAGCAGTATGAAACAGAATGTGAAATAACTCCTGGTTGTGAGAGCAACTCTGTACACAGYGTCTTGCAGGTCTGTGGAGACAGGGAGCTTGAATGATCCTGGTTAAACTTACAGAGGTTTGATAGGTGGACTTCTTTTCCCTGCAATCATTTTCATCATCTCAAAATGATTAGTATAAAGTTGCGTGTGGGTGGCACCCTCATCTTGAGCATATATCTGATTGGTGCGAAGGGGGCGACTGTTTTTAGTCTAAAAATGAAAACAAACCAACTTTTAATTGAGAACACTCCTACATTGCATTTTGTCTATGTATAAACACATGGTGCGCTTGTAGATTATTTAAAAAGGTTCTCCAACATATCTATAACAGACTGGTTTCTGCCTCGTGTCACTGATAACCTACTGTTAGACAAAACTCTATGGGAAATTATAAAGAAAGAGCAAAATAAGGAGCAGTTCTCACGGTCACACTGGCATCAGCACTTGGGGACATACAAATGGCAAACTCTAAAAGAATCTTGAAAAAGAATCTTTGCTTTAGTTTAGATTTTGCAAGTTTAAATCAATACCCAAACCAAGAGCCCATTAGTTTCTAGTTATGCGTAGCGCACACATAGTGCAATGAAACCATCACTGCACTGCTCTCCTAACAAGCTGTGTTAATGTTCAGCACACCATGCCCTGCTACTACTTGGCTTCTCCTAAGCAGCAACTGCCTGTCAGGGACAAACCTGCTTATTAGTCAGAGCTGGGACTATGGTCAGAAGTTCTAGACTCTACACCTAGTTCTGTCACTAAATAGCTGTATAGTTTGGAAGAAGTTGCTTATATTCYTGGAATTTGTTTTTGTTTCTGTAGCATATTATCATCCCCATTTACAAAGAGGTGCTTCAAGCATTAAATTCACTAGTATCTGTAATCCACTTAGACCCTAGTATGTAATGCAATCTTACAGAGCTTAAGTATCATCATAATATTCAGCATAAGTTAGATGGTGGTTGTTAGATGGAAAAATACCCACTACAGTTTATGTGAAAACAAAAAAATCTTGCATGATTTAAAATTTATCTATCAAATCCAAAAGCTGAAGTCTGGTGTCAATCCACTGTATCAACAAAGAAAGAAAAAAATAAATTTGGAATTTTAATTGATGTTTGAGAACTCAAGTAACACTCAACATGGATCTCATGAATTATCTGCCCACCTCCATTGTTGCTAAATATCACAGTGTCTAGATTTGATTTTGAAAGAATACCAATGCACACCTTATAAATACTTTTTGTCTTCTTTTTAGGATTAGCTTCGTACATTAGCTGTAAAATAAGAAGGAAAGTTAGATGATCTTTTGTGGAAGAYTTTGTTCAGCTGCTTTTTCTTTTCAAAGAAATCACATAAAATAAGTGGAAATCCTGATGAGGATAATTTTATAAATTTTTAAAAAGTTAATTATTTACACTGTTGAAACATTTAACTAAAAAAAAAAAAACAAGTGCTTAAAAAGATAAGGAAAAACTCTACAAACTTAACGTAAAAATGACGCATGTTTTCTACGTAAACTCACCTTTCCTTCTTCCCTTGGAATAATCACATTTTCGTATCTGTTTCGGCATTGTTTTGGTGAGCGATAGACTCTGCTGCATGAGTTAACAACATCACTAACAAGGTCCCAATTGGGYGTGTGTGCTGGTGATACAACAGCGAGATTTAAAGGAAGCTCCAGTAGCTGCTTCACTGCCTAGAAGAGATAAAGGAACAAAAACTTCAGATGACAAGTCATTCCAATCTTCCAAACCCAACCTTATCTGCATGCATCTGTACACCATAATTACAATGCAGTGTTAAAGGTGAAACACAATCTGCTTCAAATTATGTTAGCAAAATGCCAAACTAACCATCAGGAATTAGAAATGACCTTGAAGAGATGATGTACACAAAGAGTCTTTTCTGAAATTACAAACTAAGACACAACACATAATAACAGATAGTGTGGGCATCATCTAACCTGCAGAAGTGCCCAGTCTTCACTGATCAACCACTCGGGATTATCCTGTCCAGCCTCAGCAGCTGGTTTGACAAGAGTCGGCAAAGGCTTTGCAAACTGTGTCTGTTGTTTCAACAAGATGTTCTTCTTCTGCTCTTTGCCTTCGCGTCGCATTTTCAACATTCCTGGGGTTGCTCGGTCAAAGAGCGAACGAGGAGGAATAACTGTCTCTCCATGACGTTGCTTCTTCTTCCTACCTGCAGCTACAATAATAAAAAGAGACATCTTTTGTGAATGGTTACTACCTTTGACTTTTTTTTCCTTGTAACAGCAAATTGCTTCTCTTTAAATTATCTTAAAATATAGAGAGTATATTGCAGTCTGCAATGAAACATAAAATGGCCAGGGCCATTAAGTAAAGCAATACCAAACTTGTCCTAACTCACACAGCAGAACATCTGTTTTGTCAAACTGTCCTTACTTAAGCAGTAATTATACTGCTTTAAGACCATCATGAGACAAGAATTTTTATTTCTTCAAATCTGCTCATTTGATTTTTCAGGAATATGCATACAGTCACAAGCAAAAAAGCATCATTTCTGGATTTATACCAATCGACATCATAACAGTGTTAAACAAATACTTACCAGATGGGTCTGTTTTGTGTCGTTTACGTTCCTTCCGGACATAAACTGGTGGCAACTTTGATTCCGGAATTGGAGTTGTATCATACATCAGACACATAACAGAATCAATATAGATATCATTGTCATCTTGAGGTGGAGTGGGGGGAGTCCAAAGCTACACAGAGTATAATTTGTAGTTAGTGCAATGGATTAGCTAACCATTGATCTTTAGTTCTCAAAACAGAAATAGTCCATTTTGAGCGTCTGAAATTTTTTTTACGTACTGGCATTATTTCCGTTTGTCCATCTGGACCTTCGTAGACATATTCCTACAAAACAAAAAGAGAATACAGTTCAAATGATGTGATTAAACCCTGATGGAATAGATATTTTCAAAAGAACTTAGAGGAAATGCAAAAATAATCAGGACTTTGTTGTATGCATACTTTGTTATATGCATCCTCTCGAGTGTAGGTGAGAAGTTCCTCTTCATCCTCCCAAAGCATTTTTTGTTCCTTTTCCTTTAACATCTTCATATGCTGAACTTCCCATGCTTTCTTTGTCGCTTTCAATTCCACCTAGGTGAAAAGCCAGGCTCATTATAAACTTAATGCAGTTAACATAACACAGTGCAATAAACACTGAATTCAAAGCGGATTTTTCTTTTTAATGGACAAATTCCTTAAACTTYAGATTTTCTGTGCCCGGAAAATTTTAAGTCATTTCTTCACAGATGCCTTTCAGAATCATTTAATATGAGATTTTTTTTTTCTGTAACTGTGAGAATATTTAAATCTTCAAAATAYAAACTCAGAAGTTGAGTTAAACAATAAAGACAACTAGAACCTAACTGCACAAATGGATATCCATGCTCACCTTTCTCAAATGAGCAGCCTCAGTGAAATTTTTTTCCCTGCTATCAATTAAGTACAACAAATAATTGCCTAGCTGAAGAATGCCATTCTTATTTTATAAATATAAATTAAGAACTTACACCTCCTTAAAACACGATAAACACAAGGAGATGAGTTTCCTGTAAGGCATTCTGGTGCTTAATAAATATACTATGCAAAGCAAGCACACTCAGAAGTGCTTACAAAATACCCACTGTCCTTGGAGGGATTTCCACTTCACATTGAAAATATCTCTCTGCTAGTCTKTATTGTGATAGAAGAACACAGAATAGAGAGGCTTGTTGTTTTACCTCATTCAAACTTGGCTCATTCTCTTCAGCAGAAACGTGGAAGAGCTCTAAATAATTCATTGCATACTTCTCAATTGGAGTAAGCTGAGAGAACATATTAAGGAAAAAGTAGTTAGTATTACCGATAAAAAGAAAGAAAAGTGACCAAAGGAGAATGCTTTAAGGCTCTCCTTGAGATTAATCTCCCTTTCAAATGTCTTAACAACTTAAGTCAGTAGGAGATTTCCCATTATTTTTTTGGGAGGAGTATAAAATCCATAGAAAATAAAGTTTCTGTAAGGCAAGACTGCAAAGAAATTGATATATTTGAACTATACATTATTTTTTAGCCAAATATTCATGGAAAGGCAGGGTACCTGATCCACAATAGCAATTAATTCCTGCAGCTGTGAGGTTTCTTCATTGTATTTTGTCTCGCAGAGTTCTGATATTAAAGGTTCAGTGCTTGATTCAGGACCTATTTCTTGTATGTGATCATTTGACTCTTCATTCTCTTGTTCAATACTGTTGAGGGCCTTTCAAAAACACATATTTTAAAAGTAAACTTCAAAAAATGTGGAAAGAAACCCGAAGAGAAGTTCACTAAAGTCCAACCCAAATGTTTGCAATAAATCTCTCCTGAAGCAGGATAAAGAGTCCCCAAAAAAGCACACTATTCAATAATGTACTTTTGTAATTTTTATAAGGAAAAAAAAAAGGAAATCAAGCTATCAGAAAACACTGATAGAATTTAGCCGAATAAAAAAAGATACATCTGTTTAATAAAAAATTCATATTGCTGTATCTTCCCTCCTCACTAATTTATGTGTTAATTAATTACCTCTATAAATGGTCTTGCAACTTTAGGTGAAATGTTTTCTGATGGAGATGGCTCTTGAGAAAGTACTACAAATTCYTCTGCTTTCACTCTAAATCCAGAATCCTCCATAGGAGAATGAACCTCAAACAACTCCTGAATTGTTTGCTTGGTAATTAGAAGAAGAAAAGAGAATTATGTTCCACGATTATTCTGGTTTTGTTTTCCTTTGTTTTAATTTTCTTATAAACCATATACTGACTAAAGGAAAAACAAACTTTATAATCTAATGCAGTAATATCTATTATAAAYGGAACATTGCCCCCTGTCTGTTCTATAATTTTCTCTTGTAGCACTATACAGCCAGAATACAGTTAGCAGAGGATTTATAACTCTCTGTATCAGATATACATGCTTTACCCTCTGGCACTGTCATTCCAGCAATGGCAGAAGAGGATGGACTAGCTTCACCAGTGCAGCCAACATCATTTGAACCCTTAGACCAGCAACRGTGAGCCTATGCCACTGAGCTTTATATTTCACATTTTTAAAGTTGTTGCAACTTTTACACTTGCAAGGTCTACAGAATTTTCTAGCCAGATAAAAGTCAGAACACRTTAAGTCGCAAGAAGGATAGTTTTGCATCACTGTGCAAATAACATCATTAACAGATAGTGTCACAGTCTCTCAAATATTAACAGCCAAGCTAAAGCAATCATGGAATCTTATATGCTTATCTATCAAATCCCAGTTCAAATGCATTTACAGTAAATTTTTAATAAAYGGTAAAACCACACATTTAGAACATATTTTGAATATTAACTTACCTGTGTTAAAAAGGCCATGGAATAATCATTTCCCTGAGCAGCTACTTCTCTGATCAAATCCTTTGTGCCATTTTTCAAAAGCTTCTCTTCTACAGAATTACCACTGACAAGTCTAAATGAAAATCAGAAAACTTGATAAGCCAATTTCAAAAGAGTATTCAGAAGCCAAAAGAGAAATTGCCTGCAGAGAATAACAACGAGTTTGTAAAATATGATGGTTTGGGGGGGGGGGTTAGTTTTTTTGTTTAATTCTGGAAAAAAAAAAAAAAAARAAACCAACCAACCAAAAACCACAGCTACTACTTCCAGTTTAAAAAAMCAACCTTATTTAAGGAAAAGYCATTTATCTGCAAGCATCACCTGTATATATGGATATCTTTACATCTCCCAATTCTGTCACACCACTCCTGAGCCTTTGCGTCCATCACYGGGTTTAAGTCGTTGTCATAGAACACAACAGTATCTGCCTCGACGAGGTTGACGCCAGTGGAACGACTATGAGAGGAGAGGATAGCACAGAAAATGCGCTTGTCCCTGTTGAAACTTTTCATCAGCTCCTACATAAAGGCAATAAAAGTAGACAGTAAGTAAAACCGTACAATAAAATAAATTCACCATAGCTAATAAAAAGAAGAGGAAAAAAAACCCCAGTGTTTCAAATGGGTAAGAAACAAGGTACATTTTCTTATCCTAGATGCAAACAAGTGCTAGAGTGAACTTACCTGCCGCTGTTCGTGGTTAGCGTATTCATCAATCCTCACAAATGTGAGGAAATGGAAATTCAGGAACAACTCCAATATGTCCAACATCAAAATCATCTGTGATAAAATCAGCACACGGCGCCCTTCAGATTTCAATTTTTGAAGCAAAATAGCAAGAGCTTCTAATTTCCCTGCATTTAAAAAAAAAAAAAAGATAAAAAGATAAACAATAATGGTTACTTGCTGCAAGGCAGAAAATGACCAGAATATTGCCACTAAATGTCCTCCTTTACCTGAGTCATACTGCACCAGCCGAAGGTCAGGGAACTGCAGCAAGTGCGGAGCTGTGATCTGTTGCAACTGATGCAAGTGTGGAGCTGCCTTCTGCTTAAGATTGTGCTTAAGGAGTTTCAACCTGTGACTGTATGAAGGGGGAGGATTTGCTACATACAAACATGGGGGAGCAGCAATTGCAGCTGGCAATACAAAGAGAGCCCTGCGAAAAGCATAAAAGCAAATACTGGGTCAAGAAATAATGTACAACATGACCATCCGTGGCAATAATTTTCAGCCTGTCAGTGACAACCTCACTATTACCTAAACACCTTAGATATCCTTTGTTAATGCTACAAGTAAGCTGCTGCCTATCTTCAAAGTAAGTGTTGGTGTTTTCTCTTTTTCTCTTTTTCTCTTTTTTTCTATCGGCTTTGATGATAGCTTCTGTTAAGCTGTTTGCATTGTGATCACTGAATTCAGTGACTAGAGCTCAACTACAACTGCATCATACCAGACTTAATAAAGACAATTCAAAAAAGTTCTTCTACTTGCATTGCATGCTCCCAAGGCACTGCAGTGATTTGCTCTACATACAATCTATTAAATACCAGCTTTAGCTAAACTAACTTTTGCCCAGATCTCCACGCCTAAATTCTTGTTGGCTGGATCCAAGCATTCAGAAATATCGAATCAAAAGTAAATTCAAAGGCTGGGGATGCAAGGTGAAGCAGATCAGCTGAATTTGGACCTGAATTTAGAAATAAGGCACTGAGCACTGCTATTTTAAGGATATCATGCTTCTTAAGATTGCTATTTTAATGTTCAYACTGTGCATCACTTATTGTTAAATAAATTGATCCAAATTAAACAAGCTAATAAAGAGAAACAAGAYTTTTGAGCTACTTTGAAAAGAGCTGTTTAGGAGGTAACTAAATRTAAGTATGAAGCAGTCACACGTTACCTGTTAACAACATCCTTTAAAGAATCTAGTTGCTGAACCAAAGTCAGGATCAATTCCTGCAAGGGATCGCTTGGGCCTCCGGAGGCACTTGAAGAAAGGCAACAGTCCACAGAGCCAGCCCACCTCCAGCTGTTATCTTCACAGGAACACAGCCGAGGGAGCTTCCTTTCACCAGCCAAGGAGCAAATGCTCAGCAGGTCTTTGCCATAAACGGGGGCTTTTGAACAACGACGTTCATTGCCAGAAAATATTCGGTCCAAACGCTCCTTCAGAAGCCGGTTCTTTTCCTCGTAAGTTTCCTTCCCCAAAAGAAAGGTGAAAAAAATATTAGCTGTTTATGGTGATCACTTAGGAGTTTGAATTCCTTTAAAATGAAACTAGCAGGATGACAGTAATGTGTTCTTTATATCACCATCATTCATGCTAGATCATAACAACTATTTGGACCCAATAATAAGGTGCAATTTCTTGTGTAATTTAAYATATATTTGAGTTTTCTCGACATTTTATAGGTTATCAACTTAAAATCATTTTACATATATATAAATGAAGGAAAGGGAAAATAAGGGAATCCAATGATTCCATTATTTATGCATTACTACATAATTATGATATAGCCCAGTTATAAAAATCTATCTGTCATTACAGCACAAACAGTCAGTTGGCTGCTGTGGAATTTACACACCAAACTTAAATTTATGCAGGGATTATAAATGACAATGCATCAGACTTGTCAACCTGAAACACCTGATTATAGTATAGGTGCAACTAAATCAAGTTATCAAACCTTCCAACTAATTCATGGACTTAGTATTGTTCCTGAAAAGTTGTTTTTACACAGGAAAATGAAGTGAAGTACCTGCGACTGTCCATGTGCAGGAACTGGCTTTAATGCTGCTCCTATCTCACCAGCTGACAAACTACTAACGGCAGTTCTACCTGCAAGACAAACTGAGAATAAACCTACTGTTTATATCTTTTCAATATTGTTTTCATTTTTGTTTTTTTATATGCAGAAACTTCATAATCACCAGTGCACAAAAATTATCAGCTTAAATAGCCTTTAGATGATGTGATGTTTACTCTTAAGAAAGTTAAATATAAATTCCAAGGGCACGACAATACATCAAACAGAAGCAGTAATGGGCTGTTTCAAGGGACTGGTTTGTATCCAGAGACAATTGYAGCAGATGGCCCTTTGCAGTGAACAAAATCCTGGCATTACATKTGTCATCATTTTTGTTATAAATGCAGCCTAGACAGCAATATCTCTACTGTTTTTTGATCAACAACTTAGTTGTGTTTTTAAGCAAGAAACTGGACACATTTTCAGCAGCAACAGACAAATCTGTTCAAGCACTATTTACAGAGGGAAAGGGAAGACAGTGGCTTGACTAAATGGGAAAGCAAAGAAAATTAGGTAATAGCAAAATCTATGTCCAAAAAAAACACAGAAAATCAAGGGACTTTTCTTTTTAGTATAAGAAATATCACCTAGATCTTTATTTGAAAGGAGAAGCAAAATAGTTCAAATTCACTTCTTCTCAAAAAAATCTAAGATAGAGGAAAAAGAAATTCTAAATAATATGACTACAAGTTCTCCCAATTTTGAACTAAAAATTACTAACTAACTATAAGTCTTAATTACTCGCAAATCACTAGTCAGAAAGAATAAAATTTCTCTCATAGTACACCCTGCTTCTGACTTCAACTTTCAGAATTGCTGTCTGTAACACTTTRGAATACACAGCAATGTGATTTGATAAAGCAGGTAATAGAGACATTTCTTCAGGCTAGAACACCTACCTTGCTGTGTCACTGCTGTGGAAGYTGGCACACCTGCTTGATGCTGGTTTCCTAAAGCATTCAGAGCATTCTGAACAGTTCCAGCTTGGGAAACCGTCTGCATGACAACTGGACCCTGAGGTCTCAAATACTGCTGACCTGGTGCTGAAACAATTTGAAGAACACTTCCTGCAATGGAGGTGTTAAAAATATATACATTAGACTGGGCAGAGTGGTAAGGAATCACTAGTGATCTCTAGCAATAAATTAAGAATATCCTCAGTTTTGTCTATTTCTGCTCATCAAGTAGTTTATCTAAAAATAACACTTCAGTTTATTTTAACCATATAAATAAAACCCTTACATATAACATACGCAGGTGCATATTCAATAATAAAATACTAAAACAATACACAAAAATAAAGTAACTCTATCTTTCATACATTTGATATGAATTTACGTTTCAAGTGAGAGCCAGCTCCTTTTATACCTCACACACAAACAGAGCAGAACGGGAGAAATAGCGGAGGAAAGAAAAAAATCTCCTCAAAATTAAGTTACTGAAAAGAGAGCATTCTAAGCGTTGGAAATCTCCCTGTTGTAAGTACCTTGTAACTGCAGGGGCTGCCCTGCAGTGAGCTGGCGAAGTTGGCTATGAGACAAAGTAAACTTGTTCCCTTGAAACTGCAGTGTTACAGGAGTCTCTGGCTGAGCGATTCTGCCTTGTGCTCCTGCTATAGAAGCCAGCTGGGCTATTTTTACTACCTCTCCACCTGTTAAAGAGGGAAACAAGCATTAAAATCACAAAAAGGGAGAGGTTGTTGTTCAGTATTCACAATTCTATGTTTTGGTTAGTAAACTGGTGCTGAAGCGCCCTCCATGCATAATTATACTTAGTGCATCAAAAGTGTCATATAAAAGTTAAGCAGGTATTGTTTTCTGTATTTGTTGGACCAACTGGAAAGAAAGTTGATTGTTTAAAATCTATTACCACCAACATTTTAGAAGTTATAACTTTACTTTCATTAGCAGGAAGGGTTAAGAGCTACCTGAAAACTCATGTGACACTTTGTAACAGAACAAGTAGAGACACTAAAGTGATTTCCACTGCCTTTTCAAGAGCATCAAGAAAGGTTTAAGGAAGATACAAATCCTCTTCACCCATACAGTAATATAAAAACACATTTTTAAATTGTCTGAAGATGAAAATTTGCTGATGAAGCGTGATTTATATTAAGCAATCTGCACTTAGACAAACCAAAAAGCTTTAAAACGACAAGGACCAAGTTTTTTGTGCTTCAAATGCAGAAAGGTTAGAGGCATTTGGCATTAACTATTACAATGCTGAGAAAATATTGGCATGAAAATTTAGCTTTTGTAAAGGCAGTGCATTACCCCAGAGATAAAATTAATACATCAGTGCTCAGTACTCTATACACATGCTAATAGGCAGTGCACATACAACCTTAAAGCAAAGAGCCTCATTGCTTTTCTCTGCCTGACAGTAGCGACTTTCCTCGCTGCGCGAGAGGCCTTTAGCAGATGGATTAGTGTTTAATACGAAAGGAATAATTAGGAGAGCTAAAACATTTGGTCGGAAGGAAGTCTCGCCAGCAGAAGAAACATGCAGAAGTAGGAGATTAAGTTGACACCGCTAATGTATGTCCACAGCAATTCTATTGTTTCTTATCCAATTCTCGATTTTCCTTGGTCAGAGAAGCAACGCAGTGAACAAGGCTAATCAGAAGAGTGAAAAAAAAACAACGATTCTGTACACATTTTTAGGGTGCCTAGTAACTTAACCTCGCTGGAGTAAAGAGGTGGGAGAAACCTTGAAAGGGGAGGCCACTTACTAGGCAACCGTGCCTGGGCCTGAGAGGTGAGTACCAGCCTCTGGGGCAGCACACTCTGTTGGACGGTGTGCGAGGGGGGCTGGGGCTGGGGCTGGCCCAGCTGGGCGGCCTGCGCCGAGGTCTGAGCCCGCGGTTTCCCAGCAGTGGCACTGCCGGCTGCTGTGGTGAAGGTCGCTGCTGGCGGGTGTCTTGGAGCACTGCTGGAAGCCTGAGTTGTCTGAAACTGTGCTGCTGCGGCTGCAATCGATAAGGGTTGTGTGGGCAAGCTGTTAGAGGCTTGTTTTTTATTTTTTATTTTTTTTTTTAATTCTCCGGTCTTTTATTAAGCAACCTGCATTAAAAAGAAACCTTCCGAGAGGGTATTAAAATGACTACAGGAATAGCTTTTCCTTACATACCGGAATTTTAATCCATGTCTATAACTCCATCTTATTTTTATAACATTATATATTCGGCAAGCATTGTATAAAGGATAAATAAATACACAAAATCACGGTAAATTCCGATGTTTGACAGAACATTACACATGATTTGGGCTTAAATACCAACTGCCCCGTATTTCTTCTATACGTTATCAGTTAGGTTATACAAAGCTTAGTTTTGTATTATACTGGCAGAACAAACTAGACAAACTAGCGGGAAAACGTACTGGCAATTAGTTTGTTGGTATTTATAAGCCATTAGTATTCTAGACCATTAAGCTAGASGGAAAAAGAGACTTCCATTAACAGACTAACTTGTATCTGCAAATTCAGAAGCTTATATAGTTAGAACAGCATAAATTCTCTTACCTTGATTTGAAGAAACTGTAGCAATAGGTGATCTGCCTCGTACTTGTCCCTGTTGAGTTACCGTTGCTGTGGTCACTGTGCGTTGTACTTGAGTACTTGGAAAAACKACCGTCCTGCCCTCAGGTTTCTGACCGTATTGAACTGGTTGAAACAACCTGAAGAGAATAAGAAAGTCAAAACCTATACTAAGATCATAATTTGGCTTTTAAAATTGWATGCTGACAGCCATCAAGTGGAAAACAGAAAAATTTGTCAATGCTTTTTTAGTAGAATACATGTCAGGCTATCACAGTTGTATATTCACAAGGTAATCAAGTCTACAGTTTCACAGAATCATATAAGAACATCTATATCAACAAAATATATTTGGCTTTACTAACTAAATTTCAAAAGTAGTAGCAATACTTAACAAACAAACAAAMAAAAAATCACATTTGCAAAGCCTAGACTGCAGAAATCAACAACCAAAAYGAGGTTCTTTTAAGGCCTCTTCAGAACTTCCAGCTGATCATTCAGTTGGCTAATAAAGTTGGTTAAGACTCACTTCAAAAAGTTTAGCCTACATAAATTCCACAAAAYCAGTTTGTTAAGCTTCAGAAAGAAAATACTCCAATGCATTCAGTTGCATTCACAGGAAGAATTAAAAATGCTGAAGATGGCTTAAATGATCTATCCAATAATCTAGAATAATAATGGAGCCCTCATATCATTTCCAGAAATAGTCCCTGTAGACCATCATAAAGCTATTTTTTCCATCAGAAAAAACAGCTCTACATTATTCTGAGGTCGCTAATTCCATAAGAGAGAAACATTCTTAAAAATCTAGTTATAAAACTTCATACATCTGATGTGATTATATCAGCTGTACATACCTGTTTGGTTTGAGCTTCACTGAGGTGGGCCTGGGTGGTGGTGGAGGGGAGCTGTAGATCTCTTCAATGAGTTTTCTAGTGACCTTTTGTTTTGGCAATGTTTGTGCTTCATAATGAGTCATTCGGTTTTCCACTCCAATCAGATCAAAGAGGGACAGRTCTGATTCCTACAAGCATTGTAAAACATGACTTGCTATTTTACGTGATGATACATACAATAGGATGATACATACAATTAAGTATTCTCCATGTTCTACATGGGATTTACTTTCTGTATTTAGCAAAAACTGTCTAAAAGTTTTGGAAACATATCTTAGGCYGGTAGACCCATTTTAAGCATCAGAATAGGAAGAAACCTAACTGCAATAATTAGTCAGTCTTACAGAAATCAAAGCTAGTCACTATTTTACAATTCTTTTAAACCATGATTTCTAAAAAAACAAGTCTGAACTCTCAGAATGTGATTGTTGAGTATGGAGCTTGAATGCCAAACTCAAAAAGCATCCAATTATAGAACCCAATAAATATGCACTGTGCTACCCAGAGTGTATCTGATGCAGGAAAAATCCGGAGGAAATGGATATGGTGCAAAGCAAAGCTAGAATCTCTTCAGCCACACAGTTTATGAAAAATTATTGAYTATGAACCACTTGAAAACCTCAAACCACTATCCAGAGAGATTAAGAAAGTATGCACTTGGTATGTATGGCTATGGAATAATGCATTCTTTCTATTTATAAACTTCAGATAGACTGATGATGTATAATAAAAGAATATTAAATAATGAAATTGTATAAGGACATTAAGGAAAAAATAAATACTTTTTACTCACTTTCCAAATATCCTTTTCTAGGGCACTGAGTACCAAAGACACAGTTCTGTATTCCAGAGTTTCTGATACAAAAGAGGTACTTGAGAGTCGAGGGTTTATCAGATCAGGATGATTACAAATCCTTTGCAGCTGCATCAGGACATGCAGGACACTGATAAAGTGTCCACTTTTGAGGGCTTCTTGAGTTCTATCAAATAATTTGTATAGAAATACATCAATTTAAGTATAGATTTTATAAAGTCATAAAGAGATGCCCTTAAATCAGTAAGGTTAGAATCTTAAGGGTGGTGTGTTACACAAAAATCTTCAAATAAGCTCAGTTCTTATATAGGTCTTTCCAGAATATTTAAGCAGCACTGTAGTAAAAAAGCTTAAGAGACCAGAGCTACCCTAAAGTTAGGAACAACCTAACCGGCTCCCTGTTGYTCTACAAACATTTTTTGTTTCTGTTTCATCCCTCCAGCTGTCACAAACCACTTGATTGTACAGCACAGGTAAAAGGGGGGTAACACTTTAGACTTTACGTAATAAAGACGACCTCTGCAAATGCTAAAACAAAATAACGACGATATTGACCATTATAACTTGATTTTAAGGTTCTAGGATTAAATGCATGTTTGCCATTAGGCTTTATAACAACACTAACTTATATTTTTAGCTTACAATGTAATTTTATTTTATTTACTAGTCTTGATGGAAAAATATCAGAAAAATATCAAAACACACCCAATCATGACAATTCTTTATGCTTAAACATCAAAAATGAGAATGCTTTTCATTTACTGTTTAAGTCCTTACCCTGGTTGTAATATGACATCTTCATACATTGCTTTTTGTCGATTGGAAAGACGACACTTTAGAACATGTTCGTATTTCTTTGTYAGCTGCTTTTCAACATCTCTCTTTGATCTTCGCAAAATAAATGGCTGAATCATCTGAAACATTTCAAAACAGAGGAAAAAAATTCTCTCACTTCAAAGATGCAGCTTTACAACAGCAATTTAATATGATAAACCTCGTATATGACMAGCAATTACACTGCTACCCACACAGTTGTTTAAGTATTATTTGTTCTTTAATTTCTGCATATGATGCCTCAAAATTTAAGCCATGTATTAGTTTTAAAATGAACTTATCCATGCTCTTCTGCTAGTGTAAAATTATGCTTACAGAAGAAATTCCTCTTTGAACTGAAAAAAAACAGTAAGAAGGGTCATAAATTTTAAAAGTGAATCAGCTGAACTACTGAGTTAAGGAAGATGAAAAAAAAAAACAACAACATACTCTGTGTAATCTGATGACCAGTTTATGACAATAATCCTGGTTCTCCTCATTAGCTGCTTTTACTGGAAAATCCAGGTAAGGTCTGGAAATTCCTGGAATCAGAAAATGTACCATGGTCCACAACTCCATCAATGTGTTATGCAAAGGAGTGTCTATCAGAAGCAAACGATGTTGACTGTGAAAAATAAGAAAATATTTTTAACCAATATAGCACCTAGATATAGCACCATTCTCAAAAAGAAATCAATATTCAAACATTACAGCTATTGTAGTCTTGGGATTGTCAGATATACAGTGTCAAAATAAGCTGAATCTACCATAAATATTTTTTACTATATTACACCATCAAGCTAGCTTCTTCAATGCAAAGTACCACAACATAAAGGGGAATCTTTCTGGAAGCTCAGAGTAACACAAAAAAAGAATTCAAGTGGTATGTTAGCTACAACCATGAAATGCAGAGCATATCTCTGAACTTGCTAACTAGAGCTACAAGGGGTAACTCTAGTTACTGAGCATTGGTAAAAAGCACAGGAATTTGGGCAATTCAAAAATAAGTTACTATACAGTTCAAAAAAAAACACACTTGACAATTGGGAAGGGCTCTACTCCGTACCTTCGGAGACTGAAAAGTGCCTCCCAGTGCTTCTCTGTCATATTCTTTATTTGTTGCATTTCATCTACTATTAAGTATTTCCACCGCACTTTCATAAATGCTGGGTGGCCTTTAAACAGCTGTTTGTAGGAAGTGATACACACATTAAAGCTGTTGGGTTCCATCCACTCCTACAGAAAAGGAGAGAAAAGAGTGAGACAGAAAAGCTAAAGCAGAACTCTCAGGTATCTTACTAAGTGTTCTGTACAGGAAGGAAAAGATACTATGGCCCAAACTACSGTTCATATTTTATAAGACAGTCTTGGTCTCTGAATTACAGCTGGCTCAGAAAGCAGATTAAGTACTGTAGGTATTGTTCAAGACTAAGTGAGTTCCAAAAATACCTTTGAAAATCCAGAACTAATAGATGTGAATATCTCTGCAAGCAACTCATACTCTTAAAAACTTCTTATATCCCATCAAGATAGAAGGAGCACTAAGATAAATGCAGCTTAAGGAAAGATTATCACCATGTAAAATGCAAACTCCAGTGGTGTAACACTTGCAAAATACAATACCTACCTGTCTCTTTGCCCTAAGTTCTCTTTGGCTACCAAAGTAGAGAAGAATTTTCAATCCTGGGCACCAGCGTTTCAATTCCAGTTCCCACTTCAGTATGTTACAGCTCCGCACAACAACAAGATGAGGACCCCAGTTACCTACAGCAGGTAAAGCACAGCAGTTAATAATAGAAGAGACTCAAGATAATTTCCTTTACTTATCTTTTCCCCTGATTTTCTTAAGTGCAGAGTACTAAATTCATTGTCAAAAGAGAGACCCGATAACAGTACAAATAGAGCTATCCTAATGACTAATGTCTGAAACAAAACAAGAGATAAAATTGACCCAAGGCTACAATTCACAGAGATAATGCTGGCACAGCACTCATCTAAAATTATGAGAGGGAAATTAAGTTACCTTCATTACAAGCTAAGTGTGCAAAGAAGGCGATCACTTGCACTGTCTTGCCAAGCCCAGCCTCATCTGCCAGAATGCCATTGAGATTCTTCTTGTAGAGCTTTGCTAACCAGTCAAGCCCAATCTTCTGATATTCTCTGAGATGCCCGTACAAAAGGGATGGAGTATTATATTTTACCTGAAATGAGAATGAATTGATAATCTTTTTTCTGATGTAAACTCAAGAACAGTATCATAAAGCCTACCTATTTTACAGTTCAGTAACTAGAAAAACATTTACTGTTAATTTGCTGTTAAAAATCTGCTAAATCAAGGTATTCTTTATGTAGAAACGAATGCAGAGAGGAGCAGAAAACAAGGAGTTTTACCGCTGTTGTTATCCTTGCACTGCCTTTAGGAAGCAGCATTTCTGCTGCAGCAGCAACTTCTGCTATGTCACGCATATGTTTCTTTGGGGGACTTGATCTGTCTATACCCTTGTACTGGTCAATGCTGAGAAGCGAGTCTATGAGGACAACTTCTTTCTGAGGACTCTCTCTATCAGAGATATGGTCTTCCATTTCTATGAGAGAGAAAAATTACACAGGTATTTTAAATAAACGCCAGTTTAAAAAAAGTTATACAAAGGAACTGAGATGGCTAGAATTCAGATAGGGACCTAAAAAGAGGTAGCTAATTTTTCAAAATAACKGTATGGTCTTGAAATAAAAAGAGCTTAAACCCAGGAAGATGCTCTGGATATTCACTAGCTAGGTTAACAGGATCATTAGCTTTTTACAAATTCTAAGAGGTCCTCTCTCTTATTTCAAATCTACCCTCCAGTCTACAATTCTATCGTTACATTACTACAGAACAGATGGCAAATGTGTAATAATAACTAGCAATGAAGTATGCTGCTCTATTCAGTGTAGAGAGACTCTTCTATGGCTCACTACCATTCCTGAGAATCTCTCACACGTCATGATTTTAAAACAGGCAAATATTATCCTCCTTTCACTCACTGAGAAATGAAATAAAAGGAAAAAAAATACTCACAGATGATTATCAAAAAAAAAAGAAGAAAGGCAAAATCAGGAATAAATCTAAGTTTTCTAACACTTATTCCACTGTACTTTCCATTCATTCCTGCACAGAACATTATTCTGCAGCTAAAATAATTTAAAACACAACTTTTCCCTCTAGTACAAACTGTCTTTCTAAAAGAGATCAAGATCAATCAATTTATTTCAACCCATATGTCAGGACTGTCTTCTAAACAAAAATAACCTACCTTCCTCACTGCTGTCCTCTTCACTGTCAGGCTTAGGCTGGGGCCAGTGAAAGTTTTCTGCAAAGGCACCTTCATACATCTTCAGCAAATCATCCAAAGGCAATTCAGCTGGACATCAGTAAAGCRGGTAAGTTTAAAATGATCTAACTCTTGTTACAATCAGCGCCAACGTGCTTGCTGTCAAGATATCCTTCACTCTTACATAATACACTAGTCTCACATGTTAATTGAAGAGGTAATTATTAGGTAAGTATTTTATTTAAAGATGGGGATTATGGAGAACWCTCACTTTACACTGAGGCTTGCAGTGTAACTAATTGCTCATCCAGCTTGTTTCCGACTATATTATAAACTCACTATGTAAATCAACTGTAAGACAGCGATTAGAAAGGTTGGGACATTAAATGTGAGTGGCTAAATGATAACCAAAGATTTTGAAGTCTCCAAAAAGAGACTTCAACTCTACTAGAGCATCTTCATGACCGCCTGTTTGGTCTGTTGAGGCAGGAATGTACAAGCTGTTGTTGACCAATGAATCAGGAAATATCCTCATTAGGAACTTGGCTGACTGGCCAACAGTTGTAAAGCTTCCAGCCAGCCAGCTGGCTGCAGCCACTAAGCTGACAAACAGACCAAACAAATGAATTGTGAAAATGACTATTGATTGCTGAGCAGGCGGAGCTTATCGGGAATCCTGCCACTGAAAATGAGCCGTGTTTTTAGCATGATAACTGAACTGATCCCAAYGGGATACTCTGCCATCAAGCTCTGCAAAGTGCTTGTTTCTAGTGCAAAAGAACTGCTGGCTGGAGCACTGTCATCCCTAAAAGTCTCTTTCCAGTATTTATATCTCCAGGATCCACGCTTCAAGGTACTTTCAGGCTTAATAAGTGGACCACAAAACCTCGAAATCCTCAAAACAGTTCCCACCATTTTCACATTTCCCCACAGATCCCTAACTGGGAAAAAGGAGCACTGCTCATGATTAGAGTTCTGATATAACTAACTACACTGACAGACAAGTACCACCACTTAATCCATCAGATACACTTCGTTTTTTAAAATGTTTGTCATGGGTACAGAGAATCCATCATCATTCCATTAACTAASTGCTACAACTTCCTGTACAGAAAAAAATACAGGTTATGTGATCGGTCATCTGACTGCATTCAGCTTTCACAAACACAATAACTGCTATGTGTGTTCACGTGTTATTTCAGAGCCCACCAAGAAGCAGCAAGCTGTGTGTCTACCTTCTTTGGCTAGGTTGGACAATTCCATTTGGTGGTTTATATTTCCTTCTTTAGCTTCCTGTTCTTCAATTGTTTCTTCTTCGTCTTCAACTAAAAGCAAAACAAATGCTCACTCTGGCATTCTAATTATTCTGAAATTCAGCAATTCAGTATTTCAGAAAGCTTGTAACCTCCTAACCCCGCTAGTAGGATTCAAAAAGCATGAGACACACTGAAAACAAGAAAATATGAGAGCAGCTGTACCTTAAAGACAAGTGAAAGCACTCATGCCTAAGCACAAAGGCTGTCCTGAAGTGTAAAGGTTAACTGACAAAGGTCCCCAGAGATAATTTGTTTTGGAGCTATAAACAGGGATTTTGGGGGGCAGAAATACGACACACAAATTATCACAAGAATGTCACTAGAACAGATGGATTATCTTGTCTGAAAACATCAGAAAAAGTTTTAAATTACTCATACAGTTTGAGAAACAAAGGAATGAGCAAAGAAACAAAATTTACAGCAATGACGGGAGTTTGTTTCCAGTGAAAATTTTATTTTCCTGTGTTTACTATCCAATCTCGCAAAACAGTGGATGAGGGCTGCTATTTAGTTTGGAAAAAGCATTTGGTACGTGCAGTAACAGACTGAAAATCAGTGATTTCAGGGTTTTATTATATAAGTCACATACTGCTCTATGGATACACAATTTTGAAAAGTGATTTACCTTCCTCATCAGTCAAAGACGTGCTTGCCTTTCTTTTCCTTCCAGAGGATGACATACCCTAGCATCAAATAATTGAAATGTTTAAAACCACAGAACACAAAGCTACTGATTTCTCTTTTTTAAAGAAAGCAAGAGGTGCCTTGCAATGACAGCAGCTAAACAGACACATAATGTCCACCAGTATTTCCCATCATGGAAATAAAACAAAATAACAAACAATAAAACAAGCTGTACCATGGTCTGGCCAGTACAAACTAACACTATCACAGACAGTACCAGATCGTGGTTTGCCTGATAACACAGGCTAGAGCTTTTTGCTAACAGGAAATTCAGATGCAGGCATTCTGCTTGGCGAGTGAGACATTTCAGCATGTGGACACCAGCTACAGAAGGGCAAGTGGTTCAGGACTAAAGAGCAGTCCCCATTTTTTTTTTAAGTTGTTTTTCCCCAACTTAAATCTGATGTTTTTAAGAAACGAAGGCTTACCATTTCACTTTCTCTTCCCAATAAAAGGTCTTCAGTAGGTTTTGTATCCTTAAATCCTGGAAAATTATTATACTTGATGTATGCATTAGCTACTTAGCAATTTTATATTAACTTTTAATTGCCCCCAACAGAAAACATAAAAACTTTTAATACAACATAGCTAAAACAAACAAAATCATAACTCATAGTTCAGAATCTATTAACAGTATTCATCAATTCTATTGCCAATAAGATGAAACTCCAATTCAGTGTAATTATGGGAAAAAAGACAGGCATTTATAACATATTTCTTATGAAATGAAATACAATTACCTTTCTTTGAAATTTTCTTTAAATTCAAAGCTTTTTTCCTTTTCTCTTGAAATTCAATTTGCAGTTTTATTTCAACAACCTAAAATGTAAATCAAGTTTAATAAAGCACTTATATAAATAAAATAATGAATATTAAAAAGTAGTGATATACACAAATATTAAAGAGCAAGCATTTTACCTGTTCAATGTTAGACCAGAAGTACTCTATTTCTCTAGCAATTGATGCAGCAATTCGCCTTAGTTTATTCTGTTCTTCCTTTTTAGCTCGCTCTTCATTAAGTTTCTTTTCTTCATGGTAACGAGCCACAGTTCTTACCATCTAAAATACCAGAAAGACTGAATTAGGTTACCTCAAGAACATTTCAAGAGAAACAAAGTTCACAAAACCCCAAACCATTATTTGCACCTAGATCAGTACAATTATCTATTCAGCACCAAATACTAGACTATCCAAAGCTAACAATATAGGGTCTCCTTTAAGAAAAAAATCAGTGCTTTCTACTCTCATTTTTTCCATGGGAAAAAACAAACAAACAAAAATGTTTAAATAGCTTTGGTACAAAGTTGAATGACACCAAGATTAATTGCTTTGATTCAAGGGCATGTGCTTTTCAAGTACCTTCTTAGCAGCTGCCATCTTCCACTTTCTCTCTTGAGCAAAATCAGTTGCCATCCACTGCATTTCTTCCAGTAAGTAATCCCAGTGAGATTTGGGTCTTGGAGCCTCCTGGAGTTTAGGAAGTCGCCTCAGGGACCATAAACCTTCCTTCCTCAATTCTGCTATTCGCTGATGGATTTGATTTTCCTGAGGAGAAAAAAAAAAAGGGTTATATCATTAACAAAGCAACTGCCTGATGCACTTGCAATAGTAGGCAAATACAAAAACAGTGTTTGTTCCAACTCCATCAAAATACTTTATAGAAAAAAGTGTAACATGTCACATACATTATACAAATCAAGTCAGAATATTGTATCAGTGTAGGAATCACCAGGCTAAATTCAACTTTATGCATAAATAGAATTTTAGTACCTTAACTTGTATTACAAATAGTATAATAAAAGAATAAAGAGGTTCACTGGGCAGCACAATGTACGAGACATACGCAAACTGCAATCAAATAATTCTTATTTTTTAAGTTGAAATTGTGGCTGTTTTTCTCCACAGAGAACACAAAAGAGGATGAAGACATCTTCATTACTAACGCTTCTTATTTTTCAAAGAAAACAAGTTCCCTATGGAGTTCCTGTAAATTAGCAAAACAACATGTCTCTAGTTTGTTATAAATATAATTGCAGCTGCCCTGAAWAACCGGACATAAGGAGAAAGAGTGCTGAAGTAGCTGCTGTGACTAAGTTCTCTAACTTCCTCTGGCTAAAAGTAAAACTCAGTAGAACAATTTTTTAAACACCATACTCAGAAATCATCCCAGCTCCATAACTCAAACATGTAACTGTTTATACCTTCCCCCTGCCCAAAAGAAGAAGAATCTTACCAGCTTTACTTGCTCAGCAAGCTTGTCTTGAGAGTTTTCCTGTGGTAATACYGCTGCATTCTGAGCTGGACTTTGTGTTTTAGGTGCTGCTGCTGCTACTGCTAAGCCTGGGGGTTTTGAGGCAATCGGAGATAATGACTTGTTAGTTGCTGGAGACGTTCTGTTTGTTTGTGCTGGGTACGTGTAAGGCGGCGTGGTGCCTGAGATGGTTGCTGGCGCAATGGATGAGGTAGGCGGTAGCGTGTTTGCCGTAAGACGCTGAGAAGACTGAGCTGGATCTGCAGATGGTCGTGTCAGAGTCACAGTCTGCCCAAGAAACACATTTATTAGCGATTTGCTTTGCATTCAATACTGACTAAGCCTGCTTTACTGCGGAATGTAATAATGTCCTAACTTAAATCCAGTTTAAAAAAAGCACGCTTGCATCTTTCTAAGGAAAGGATTTTTCCTTGTAAGCTATGTCTATGTGTGTTTGTCCAGTGRAGTTAAAAAACATTAGAATCACACACTTTGAGGAAGATAATATTGTTATCTCTTTCTGTGCATTGAAACAGACTTTTTTTCCCCCCCAATAAAGCTCACATACCTGTTGCTGTATTGTAGCTTGTGGCTGTGACACTTGGCTTGGTGTCTGTCCTTGCACGTGGATTGCTGGCGGCACCTGCTGCTGAAGTGGGGCTGGCAGTGGAGCAGAAGCCAGGGGTACCCCTTGGGGCTGGATCTTCACCTGAATCTGGGGCTGGGCTGGAGATTCCACTACCTGCGGTTGCTGCTGCGGAAGCTGCAGTGCAGCTGGGAGAGATGTCAGGGGGACACTGGCGGGTTGCAGGCGCCCAGGGAGCTGTGGTGGGGGCGTATGCAAACTTGCTGCGTTCTGCACAGGAGGTCCCTTCGATGGGTCGTATTGTTGTTGACTCTGCTTCTGTCCAGTTAGCTGCACAGTCTGCGGAGCGGGCGGCATCCCACCTACAAAGCAAGGGAAAGCACACACAGATTAAATTAAAAGCTCCAAAGCTCTTTACTAATATAATGAGGAAGTCGACTGCAGGTAGACCCATTTGTTACTTACTTTGCCACAAGACACCAGCACTTGAAAATACCACATCACAATCACAAAGTAAATCACTATTACAATAAACAGCAAAGATTTGTCATGCACAGAACTAGAACTAAATTTGGAGCACAGCTATTATAAAAACCATGTTATTAAATGTCTTCTGAATTTCCTATACTTAAAAAGAAAAAGGGTGATGAGCTAACAGGAACTTTACCTAAAACAACAGCACCAAGTCTAAATAATATTTAGTTATTAATACATTCACTCTAACGTGTTCTAAAATCTAGCATCACTAGTGAATAAAAAAAAAAGTCATGTATGTTGCAAATTAGGAGGTTTTCTTTTCACAAACCATTGGCTCAGTTCCAGGATTCTCAGATTAGCCATTTTGCATCAGCACCTGTGACGTATTCCATGCCCACATGCACCTTTGGAGCCCGTCACTCAGCTCCTTAAACAAACCAGGCATTGCATACCAAGTATTAATTTACATGGAGAAGTATATGGTGGGGCTAGGATCTTGGAAGGCTGGAAGCCCAAGTTTCTAGTCCCATCACTAACATCTCCGTGTTAAATTAATGTGCAATTGGCATGTGGTGACACAGTACCTTGTGCCGTTGGCATTAGCTGTTGTAGAGGAACTCCTGATGCCACACCCGGATGCTGAAAAACCATCCCATGACGGCCCACTTCAATTCGTGGTCTCTTAGACGAATCTGTGATATTCAAATTCCATTTATGGCATGGTATAATGGAATGGGTTCAGTTTTACAAAGCAATCTACTACACATGATTTCAACATCAGCTCAGAAAGCTACGACTACTATGCATGTGTAGCATTTATGAGGAACATGCTCCAAGGGCAGAGACCCTTTAACTTCAAGTTGGCCATCTCCAATCTTCTCAGTCAGAATAACCAACCTAACGGTGTTTCCATGCTTGCCAAATCCAGTCCTATGTATTGTGAGTGGAGTCTTCACACAGCACCATTCACAATAGATAGGGCTGATGATCTGGCAATTTCCAAGGTGAGGCAAAACTGTACTTCAAGAGTTACTGAGTAGTGGGCTTCTTTAACTGTTTGGAAAACAAAACAAATTAAAACGAAATTCTACTTGAGAGGAACATACCTGCTGACACAAGTGCTTGTCTCTTAAGAGCTTCGATTTCTATGGTGTTCACAGTCCCCGTAACAGGAGTTACTGTATGTGTTTGCTATTGGAAAGAGAAAAAAAAATCAAAGAAGTTCAATATGTGAGTAGTCTAGTGTCATGATGCAAGTTACTAGCAGATGAAAAGAGGCCACTGGAGAATGGATCCTTCAGAAGAGTTGTGCAATGAAGAAAACAAGACTGATTCAGATCCTGCTAGAAATTTTGTACCCATATTGCACTGATACTTTTCCTTCAGTTTAAATTTTCAAACAGCAACCAAATTGGTGAAGTTAATTATATAGAAAACACACTTGAATGTTTTTAAAAACCTTATAAAATCCAAGAAAAAAACAGCATGATTTCTGGTTTTATAATTGGAAGTTAATGTATCACTCTTCATCATTTGCCTAATGCTGCAAAGATGTCACAGTAACATATTCAGGTAGCAAAGAGCTGTAATAAAAAGATGACATGACTGAAATCAAACATTTTGAGTTCACTACAGGATTAAATACAAGAGATATTAGATGAGCAAAGAGCATTCATATCAAAACCAACTGCATCTAAACTAACAAGATGCAAAAAAAAACCTCCAAGAAATAAGAGATGAAATATTTTTGGAAGGCAATCCTTTTCATTCTGTGTGAGAGTAGTTTAAAAAAAAAAAATTTTTTTAACAAGAATTCTCATTCTGAAGACAGTTTAATCTTAAGAGCCTCCACCACTGTCAGGAAAAATTGCTAAGATAAAATAAAAGAAACTCAGCCCAGTTACAAGTTCCAATTCCAGCTGTGCAGATGATGAAGTTGAACTTGTTTGCAAAGCAAAAAAAAAAAAAAAAAAGGACCGAAAAGTAACTGTATGTAGAGTAACACAAACTTCCTAAAGCTACTGTCACCTCAGAGCACATTAAATTACTATACATTTTGCATTTTGCCTGAGGATAAATGTCACATACCTATGAAGTAGCAAGTCTAGAAGAGCACTATGAACACTGTGAGGGCAATCACAGAGCTTGCAGTCAGCAAATTGTCACCTTATTCAGTAAGATGATGCAGTGCACTAAATCTTTTAGGATTATTACAGTTAATACTGGCAAAGACGGCAGAATTTAAATAATTCTTCCAAGACCAGATTTAGATGTCAGATTGCGATAAARCCTTTCTGGAGCAAACAAGTTTGGATGCATGATGATTTCCATGCCCTCTGGGCCCTCAGCACTACCAGTAAGTACTTAATAAAGTCCAGCAGTGTTTGTACAAACTAGTTCTTTTCAGTGAATTCTGAAGTCTTGTTTTTGAAACKTCAATACTCAGACACGCTATATCCAAGTCTACTATGATATTCAATATGAGAAAAATAAAGGCTATATCAGTAGAAAGGGCCTAAAAGATTGTATTAGAAAATACAAAGAGGGCCTTTACATAACTCCAAAAGGAGCTGGTTTACCATGCAAGCTTTCTAGGTATAATCTGCTTTTGTAAGAGCCTCCACAATACACAGCTACAGTGAAGTTTCTCCAGAAGCCTTGTGAAAACTTATTATGACAGAAGCTCTTGTATCATTAAATATTCCCTAACAAAGACACCAAATTCCCAAAGAAGCTTCTATACTTCACCAATCTGTGGCGAAATAAACTCTCACATTATTCAGACTGTATCTACACCTACAAATAACAAAATTTAATACTCTTGCTGCTGTGAGCATTTGCGGTGGTTCTAGTGGCACTGCCATATGGTTTAGATACGGATTTTAGCTTTAAGAATATTTGACTCATATTCGTCCTTAATGGTGAGTAGTTCAGTGTCCTATGACACTCAATATAAATTACGCTTTCAAATTTTGGTGTTCTCGCAAAGCAGACGTGCAGCATGCGTTATGACTAATAGCCAAGATCTGGCAGAGCCTCATATACTTTAGGTATTTACAGAATTATTCCAAATAACATCACAAAAATATATTTTATATAACACTTCTGAATTAATTAACAAATCCAGCGTATTTGCTGYTTGCACCAAGTGCCTTCTGGGACATCAATCTAAAAGGATGTGCTTTCCAAGTGCTTCCAGTGCCATTTATTCCATCTGCACTTCCATTCTGGATGACTGCATTCATACAGGCTCAGGTTGCAGCTCCACTTCAGGATTTTTGACTAACATTTTTTCTTCAGCCTCCCACCTGTCTGCATTATCATCTGCTAGTTAGGCTAGACACTTCAAAGAGCAAAGATTATGTGTTTTTACTAATTGCATTCACATACCACAAGGCTTGTGGGAGAACTCAAACTGTCCTAAGTATAATTAAAATAACAGTTTTCCAGAGGCCATGGTTCTGCAGCATGTCCACAACAATAACCTGGAGTGCTGCACTTAGGCACTCAAAACTGAACTGATGCTGACCAGGATACATTACTAATCGATAAGTAGGGGGTACATTACTTAGGTAGTTACAAAGAGAACTGTCATTGGTGCAGTAGGTACTTAATATTAAGCCTAAACACCATAAAAAAATCACCTTACACATATTATACAATATTATATATTTTAAAGCAATTAGCTGAAGCCTGACCACCTAAGGAGACTTCCRAAACAGGTCAGCACTGGCCATAACAAAGCTCTCAATGCAAGTCCCTTTACTGAGCAACTCATTTGTGAAATACTCATAATGAATAACACATTCGTTGTATATGGGAATTCCATCGATTTTACACTGCTTTTAACGCTCCATTTCCCAAAAACTAGATGAAAGTAGTGTGGATTGTATGGCTTTTAGGGTAGAGACCAGTGATTTATACGTCATTATTTGCTCTAAGTGTATATAACTGAGCTAACAGGTAAAAATTTTAGCTGAGGGGAACTAGAGCATATTACTTGCCTGGGAACATAAGCAGTGGTGTCCCAGTACACAGTGCTAGGGGTAGATGAATACACATATGCTTGAATCTAAATGATGCCTCATCAGTAATCCATTAAAAGAGCAACCAATTACCACATTCTGCTTCTATTTTGTACATTGTCCCCTCATTCAAAAATGCATTAAAATGCCTATAAAATAATAACAAGCACTTCAGCTTCTTCTTGTTATCCTTCACGACAGAGCTAATGAAAAGGTGTTAGTTATTAAAAAAAAAAAAAAAAGAAAGAAAGAAAGAGAGGGAGAGAGAGAGGTTGTTATTGTTATTTGAAATACTTCAGGGAAGGTAAAGCAAATACCCTTCTGCAGCCATACTCAGAACCTTTAAAACAATAAAGAAAAAAAAAATTACAAGAAATCCACATTTACAATGCCACAGAGAAAAGAATCCACACTACCAGTATGCAGAAAGCACAAATGCACCAAATGCATTAGGGAAACAAAAGACAAACAAACCAAAGTGAAAACATTCAAGCTGAAAGTTAATGAAAAAAGCCAGCAACTTTGAGACAGAGATTTAACTTCCTTAATGCTCCATTAATACTGATGTATTTGAAGACTGCAAAGATCTTTTTTGCTTTGTTTAGATGGTAAGGGATGGGCTCTTGGGAAAACTCTAATTCATCTAAGAAATACCAAATCTGAATGAAGGAAAAAAAATCTGGGATGAAACTACATTTTTAGAACCATTGAAAAGTACCTGAAATGGTTGCTGCTGGGATGAAAAAGCAGCAGAAACATTTGGAGGAAGCTGGGTTGCTATAGCGACAGGAGTACCAGTCTGCCCATCCTTTCCTGTCACAACCTTTACCTGAGAGAAATATTTTGGGAAAAAAAAAAAAAGGGAGAATCATTTTCTTTTTAAAAGTTTTTCTTCTTCTTTTTTTTTTTTATTTTTTTTAACTGTTCACACACTTGTTTATTTACTGATGGCACCTCACTGAAGAGGGGATTATAAGTAACTGACCATCAGTGCAGCTTGGCTTGACACAGGCAATTTTTGAGCAGTTCTGTTGCAATTTTAATAGCAGAACGGAGTAAAGCCTTGACTATCTATAGTGACCTCTCACCACTGGAAAGCTTTTCTGAAATCCAGTTCACATAAAAGCGTGGTTTAAGTTTAGTGATTGCAGTTTCTAATGGACAACAAATTAGCATGACAGACAGTTTGAACTTAAGAGAGCCCCGACATTAACTTAAGCAATGAGCACAGCCACCATTCGCTCTCCCCCATTAACTCCCAAAGTGAACAGCCTTTCCAGGCAAGGGATGAAGTGCATTGCTGTAGCAGAAAGTGATAAAGAGGAGGGAAGGGGAAATAAAAGAGAACAAGACAAAAAATACAAAGAAATAACATACTCAAAAGATGTCTTAATCTTTCAAAAGGATTCATCATTTAAAAACACTCAAACAACTCGTTGGAGTCTGCAGTATCTTCCAGCAGTTAAACTGACAAGCAACATTCCCGACCAAGATGATCCAGCACAAGAAATTGTCAAGTACAGCAAACTCAGGACYGTGTAGACTGAGGGGCAGAGGCTCAGCTGATGTAAACTGTAGTAGTACCATGGACTTCAATGAACCTTTACAATTTACACCCAGCAAAGATCTCAAAATTTGCATACTACAGTTATAAATACCTGGTTTTCAGCTGACAAACTTGCAAACCAACTAGAACTAAATAATTTGACAAAACAAAAGCCAAGTGAAAAAAAAATACTGGGTGGCCATCGTCAAGAAATTAAAACAGGCTAGCTTTAAAGCTCCTAGGTATTTAAAAATATCAATAACCATCGTAAACAGAATATATTTAGAGACACATATATGTTTTTCCTCATCAAGAAATTCAGACTAAAATAAAAAAAAAAGTTGAACTCCAGCTGTTACACAGATAATTTTTCCATCCAAATTCCATGATCCAAGATGTGACTTACTAGTAATGACTTAAACCTAACGGTCACGAGTTTTCACTGAAGACACTGATTTATAAGTATTCCGAAGCAATACACATTTATTTGCATTTTTTTTTAATAAACAACTCTATACCCCACACACATTCTCAGAAATCATATAAAGTATTTATGAGCGCCAAGAGGTGCTAACTCATCAGCCACATCGGGGCTGGAGGTGCTAATTCATCAGCTACACGAGGGCTGTTGCAAGCACTTAGGTACACCCAGCGCGCTCTGCACCCCAGAGGCACCATTGCAGCACCTGAATGGGTGCTGCAGGGCAAGACTAACAGGGATGGGTACAAACATCAAGGAAAAGCTGCACAGCACCTGTTTGCAGCAAGCTTATTCCAAGCCACTTGGCATTAACAAATCGTGAAGGAAAGTAATTTAGTTATTTGTGTAAATAATAGAAGTAAATCTTTTAATGTCCAGGCTATAAATGCTTTTCCTTCTTTTTTAATGATTCAAGTTGCAATATATGCACAAAATTCTAAGCCTAAATAGACTGATGCCTTACTGTGGATCCACATATATTATGACACACTAGTTAATGAGAATAATTAATAAGAATCCATAAAAGTCAAATAAAGGTTTAATCTCTTATGAGACATTTTGCCTTTTTTGGTTGCTTGTGTATGCCTGGTAAGTGGAATTTAATTTATGATAAATAATCATTCTAAAAGCTTAAATAGCTTCCACAGCAATGCAAAGTTCATTTATATTTTGTCTTACCTATTTTACATATAGGATTTGCACTAAAGCAGGACAACAAAAGTTCTATTCACCTCTCTGAAGTGCTTTGCTTTTAAATACATACATCTGAATGCCTGCTCACACCAACCTGTAAGATCACACGACCTAGCAAAACTGCATTCCATCAAAGCATCCATTACAAAAAAAAAATGCAATATTCTTTAAGTAGAAGTGATTTTTCAGATACTCCCATACTGTCTAATACCTCAGACACCATCTCTGCTATTTTATTCCAAAACAATAACCAAAAGATTTCTTACCTCATCATTGATAACCTCAGACTGTTCCTCGTCTTCCTCCTCCTCCAGATCCAAGTCATTTTGCCTCAGGTATGCCTGCAGTGGAACACAGTGTTTCTTCTTAAAAGCTAAAAAGTCCATCATATTCCCTTGAAGGTGCTGCAGGAAAAACAGTTCAATCAAGCATTCCTTGAAAGTTTCCTTAAGCATTTCCATTTGCTTATGGTGATGATCCAAACATTGTTTCCTCATTTGAGCAGTCTCCTGGTTGGCTGGAGGAATCTCCTCCAACTTCTTGGGCTGCTTTTTCACCGCCTGGTTAACTGCAGGAGCAAGAGGAAGATTCGACAGTGCCTGCGGAACCGTAGCCCGGGAAGGACTTGTGGGAGGAGGTGGCGATGTCATTCCAAACGCACTAGCTCCTCCAACTCCTGCTATCAATCCACCAGAAGTCCTGTCATAGCCAAGGGGTCTGTTCAGCTGTTGTCCTTGAAGCACTTGCTGCTGCTGTTGCATGAGTTGCCCCTGGATAATATTGCTGATTTGCGGCGGCAAGCTGGTAGTTGTGATGTGCCCTGGGCTGGTCAAAGATTGCATGTTTGCTCCGCTAGCCACAGGACTCTGAGGGCCCAGGTGATGGATGGTGCCCCCAGACTGTGAGTGAGGCTGCGAAAGTCTGCGTTCTCTTACTGTAGCAGGCGCCCCAGAAGATGGAAGCTGCACTTGTGCTGCAGCTCCTTGAGCAATCTGTGCAATTCCTGGTCCTTCCTGGTACACGAAGTGCCCGCCATTGGAAGGGCTCAGGCTGATCTGCCTCACCAGCACGCTAGCATCTACAAATCCTCTGGTGGGGCTCTGGCTGCACATGCCCAGGCCRGGGCCCGGAGTTCCTGCCCGCACGTTTGGTAACGTTTGCACGGGCACCGGGTTCGGCTGCGTGGGGCTCTGAGACTGAACCTGTTGAGGCAGCGGGGAGGTGACTTGGATGTAGGATGGGGAGCCATGCTCGAACCGCCTCTGCTGAGGGCTGAACTGAAAGCCTGGTGACGTCGGGTTCGGGATTGGCAAAGGGGTCAGTGTTATCTGCTGGTTTCCTGAAGCCACCGGCCCAACGTTCTGCAGGGTGATGTTCACATTCTGCCCAGCTACCGGACTTCTGCTCATTATAAACTGCTGTATTTGGTAGCTGGGGGACTGTGGGGCAGATGGGCTTGCTGAAGGTGCAAAAGAAGCTGCAGGGGACTGGGGTAAATTTGCCTGTTGCTCTTCTCCCTCRCTGCCCGTGAAGGACCTGGACCTCTGGAGCTGCCGCTGAGCATTCTGAGGACCGTTTCCATGGTGCATGWTCGCTGCTGCAAGGTCTCACAGTATATCCTAAGGAAACGCACAAAAACAGGTATTCTGGTTAGAGGGGACGTAAATACATTTCAGTAACGGAGAGAAACTATCAGAAAGAATACTTCCTGGTAGGAATTCAGTTATTGTCTTTGTAGTTCCTTACAAGTTTTATGTTATCAGACTGTTTTTTTGAAAACCTCATCATCACAAAAAAATTAGATCTCTTGCATGTTTTCTCTTGCTAACAAAATGCTTTTGAATAGTTTGCAAATGACACATTCATCTTAAGCAGTCAGGCTGAATTTAAATAAAAGGAAAAAGTGCTTTTTTATTATGTGGCATTTCAGGAATGAAAGTCTCCACTCTCAAAAATGCCTSCTGCTTTTGTGTTCACTATTCCCAATGTTTCAATATTTTAGCATTCAATAACAAAAAAGTAGGACTCCTCAATAACAAACAAAAACTATTCTGAAAAGCTGATACGCGTTACTCAACTTTACTACCCTAACTAATGAAAAAAAAATTAAAATGGGTAATGAAAGATTTCCTTTGCCAATAACCTGTAGGTTTGAGAAGGCATGTGCCTGACATTTAATTCTTCATTCTTCCCTTCAAGACACCAGCACTTCAAAAAGACAAAAATCAACCCAAATCCGCATTTCATTTAAAATGCTCTTTACAGACCCCATGCTAACGATAGATTAGAAAGCACTTTGGTTTTGAGGTTTGGTCACTCAAGAAACTTAAAAAAAAATAAAAATAAAAAAGAAGTTCATTGACATGCGCTGACTGGTAGGTGACACAYAGGGCTAGGTGACATGTAGCAGCAAAACAAAAACAAAAGCTGCTTTTTCTCAGGATTTCTCTCCTTTGAAAGCAAGTGTTTCACAGGTGTGTGTCAGTGCGCCAGGCCGACACGGGCTGCGCGCTGCCGCCCGCCCTCGCCGCTAACTTTATTAATTCCCAATCCCGGCTACGAGCGGCCAGAGGCAGCGCGTTCCGGCGGCGACCGAGCTGCGCGCCGCCGGTCTCTTCCCGCGGCTCCGGACCCAGCAGCGGCTGCAGCGCCGCGGACGGCGCCGCTGCCCAACCACCCGCGGCCCCGGGCGCTCCGGCCGGGCCGGCGGGAAGCGGCGCTGTCACCGGGGCCGCGTGCGAGGCCCGGCGCCCCCGGGCAACCCCCGGCGCGCGCGCTCCTTCCCATCAGCTCCCGTTACTGCGGCCGCCGCGCGCGGCGCTGCCCGCCCGGGAGCCGCCGGCTCCTTTTGTGCGCGGACCCCCCGGTAGGGCCCGGCCCTGGGACGCGGCGCCGAAGGCCCCGCTCCGCCGCC